AAGTCACAAATATTCATATATAAATATATATAGTATAGAGTCTAGTAAATATAGTGTGTTCCGCGTATAAAAAGCCTTGGACGGAAAATGTAAAGCGTCGCTGATTTAAGGATCACTAACAGGATCTCGCTTTAAGTATCAGGATCAGGAACCAGCTGCAGTTGCACTTCAAGTACGAGTAACTAAAAGGGGGCAAGTTGTAGTCGGCGGCATGCTAGTACAAAACTTTACTCTACAATATCCAATCAAATTTTGTTAGCTAGTCTTTTTTTGGCTGAGTCTTTTTTTTTTTTGAGTTCTATTGCACCTAACTACTTTAAAGATCACTCAACTTATATTTACTATATGGTAATAAAAATATAAAAAAAAATACACACAAAAAATCGACCAGACAACTACACACAGTTAAGCAGACCTGTAAAATTCTTGATGGGCATTGAATGGGAAGTTTTCTTTCAAAGAGCATTCAAAATGTTGCTATTAACATTTAAATCAAAAGTTGGTATACATAAGAAAAAGATTTAATATAAAAACTTGTACATAAAAACTCTATTTAAGAAAATTGCTAGGGGTATTCCTTTAATTGCTTGACGCATTGTAAGAATCTAACTTTTTTGAATAGTTAATCAAGCACAAATAATACTAAAACAATTAAAGAATTACAGCCTGAATATTAAATTGAGTTTTGTCTAGCTTGAAACCAATAAAAATTTATAAATAAATTTTAAATATTAACTAAAATATTTGTTTAAAAAATCTGATTAAATAAAATTTTTTTTAAATATTTTTTAAAAAGTTTCGATTAATTAATAATACTTTCTTGTACTTGACAATTTTTGTATATTCACTAAGAGCATACAAAAAAAGCCATGAAAAAGAATTTCATTAGGGATATTCCTTTCATTGCTAATGAGTATAATGCTCAAACATACGAGTTTGAATTAAATATGTTGCTAGTATTTGAAAAATACTAGTCTAACTTGTCATCGATCAGGAATTGTAAGGTTTTACAGGTCTGCTTTAAGAACTATTATAACTAGGCACACAGTAACTAGAGACACAGAGTTGCCAGCCTCACTTAACTATTAAGGATTGCCTCAATTGAACTAAGCTTATGATGTTCTTTGTTGTTCTTGAAGCGTTGAGCAACAGCAAATTGAAATAAAATCAAATCGGCATATTATAAGGCAGCTATATAATATATATATATATATATGGCTGCAGAGCGGGCGCATTCAAAGCAAAGCGAGCGCAGCAGAGGCAGCAGCAGGCGGCAGCTATGAATGCGTATTGTATGAAGCGAATGGGGCGTGGTCGAGAGATGAGAACATGCCACAGACGGACTACTACTCAGAGATGGTTGATCTTGCGCCACTGCTTCATCACAAAATTACCGCAACACCAGCTGCCCGATTGCCGTTTGCTTCCATCCGGATTGAGCTCCAATGTGCCTGTCGCTGCGTTCGGATGGGCGCCGCCATTGCGCAGAAGCGAGGCAGTGCATCCACCATGTTCAGCACGCTCCACATCGCTCTCGTCCGATCTCTCGCCGCCCGCCAGCTGTGGCGTGCTGCGCTGCAGGGTGCTGGTGCGCAGAGCGCCGCCGCAGTTCATCAGGTAACCGCCGCCGAAGCCCGCATAGCGATGCGATGTGGATGTCTCAAAGGAGCGATTCAGGCGTCTGTCATAGAGGCCCGGATGCACGGCTGTGCCGTCTGGATTCGGCTTGACGATGGTCGTGCCGCGCGAATAGCTGCTCTGCTGTGCCAGCAGCTTGGGCGACGGCTTGCTCTTGCGCGGCAGCAGCGGCGAGGTGCAGACATTATCATAGCCGGAGCCGAAGCCGCTCTTCAGGCGATTCAGGGATTTGCGCGTGGCGCGCTCCTCCGACAGAGCCCGCTGATAATCCTTGATGCTGGGCGTGCCGCCGCCCGCTCCGGTCAAAGAGTAGCGCTGAGCAGGCGATGTATTTAAAGAGGAGCCCACCGAACTGGAGTACAAGTTGAAGCTATTTGGACTTGCCTCACGCCAAATAAACGAGGAGTTCAGACTGCCCGCCGAGTGTTGCCGCGTTTGTTGCAGACGTTGTTGTTGTTGTTGCTGTTGTTGTTGCGGTTGATGTTGCAGCAACAACTGCTGTTGCTGTTGTTGTTGTTGGTGCGACGCATTGGCTATAAAAGGCAGCTGCGGATTGGAGGTCGAGAAGGTTTTGCTCGTTTTCAGCTTGCCGCCGCGTATGGGCAAGCAGGGCGTCCACGGCTGCAAGGCTACATAGTTGAGGTCGAATTATAGTTGTTGTTGTTGTTGTTGTCGTTTTAGAGTACGTTGCAGTTGCGTGAAAGACAAAGAGAGAAAATGAAGATATTTGAAGAACGAAAAACGAAATACCAACAACGACAACAGGAAAAACGAAAGCCCACAACGAACACAAAACAAAAATGGAAAATGGAAAAAAATCAGAGACAAAAAAACAAGATAAAAATATGGACAACAACAATACATTGCATGAAGCCAGGGGTTGTATGGGTGTATGGGTGTGTTTGTGTGTGTGAATGGGTGTGTGCGTGGGTGTAAAAGTTGTACATAAAACCAGGACCAGCAATATTATAAGGTACAACATAAGCACAGGACAACAGTTCATAAAAGTTAGGAGAAAAAAGCAAACGAATAGGGATAAAGAAACACCATAACCAAAAGGTAGCTTAATAGAGATATGCTAAAACAAAGTGAACATGGAGGACGGGCGTAACAGAATTTGGTCTGCGGAAAGTCGTGTGAACAAAAATTAATCTTGAGTAAATATATATTGGGCGCAGTCAGAAGTGTAAGCCAAAACAATGATCTATAACTTAAGCTGCGATTACGGATAATAATATATATATATAATATATATAGATAATATCATATTAAAGAGAATGCCTTAACTTGAGAACAAGGCTGCAAGCCGGCTCGAATCCGAAACATAGCAGCAAATTGATTGCTCAAAAAACATCTGAGAATTGGATCCTTTATATATATCTATCTATCAGTATATTCCTCGAAACTATATGTATATCATTTGCTTTTTTGTTTAATAAAATAATATATAAACATTATAGGTCTCTTTTTTGAATTGCTTGGTAAAAAATTGGAACCAAAAAGCGAAGCATTGGTTCGAATTGTGAACCGGAACCACTAACAAAAATATTTCATGTATTTACAAGCATGATTCATAAGCATATCAGACAATGCTAACAACTAGTTAAACAGAGTATCATTGAACGAGAAATGCCCTTCTAAATGCGCCCCAAATACAGTATACAAGACTTATGGCTAATGACAGATAGTAAGAGTAATGATAATGCTAATGCTAATGACAATGAGTAGTGTATAAATGATCAGGCGAAAGCTAAATAAATATCAACTGATTTGTACATAAGTAATGATAAATTTAAACAAATATTATATTTTTATTATATGTATGTATTGTATACGAGACCAAACACACATTAGCATTGATAATAGATATTGCATGTTGAATATTTCGTTAAATCCAATTTGTATGAGCGCTAACTGCCAGAATTCTTAACACTTATCAAATCATATAAATTAAATCAAAATCAAATGTATTAAAACCATTTAGCTGTTAAAGTTATTTCTAAATTCTAATATTAATATCCAATTGTTAAAATTAAAAATCTAAACAATTACGCATATATGTATGGTAGTAAATGTTTAATTAGAGCTCTATCTCCCTCTCTCTCTCTCTCTGTTTTTTGGTCAATAGTTAAACATTTTTTTTGCTTATAAACTAATACAATTTTGGTGTAAGACTTCTTGATTATTTTTATAAAAATTGAATTTTTCCACTTGTGAAACGTTTAACGAACTTGTTAAAAATGAAACCAAACCAACAAATGTAATAATAAAAAAATTGTTCAATTCTTTTTAGCAGCTTTGCACATTTAAGTGGGCGTGTTTCGTGTGTGTATGTGTGTGTGTGTGTTGTATATGTGTGTGTGTCTGGTTGTGTGAGGTAAAGCATATTTGGCTATAACATTTTCTTGATGATGGGAAAAACTTAAAATATAAAACTTGAGCACAAGTGCGAATAAAAGAATTAGACACACAGAAATTGCTTAGCTGCATTCTTATTTTTTTTTTTTGTTTAAATTTTTCGATTTTGTCTAGATAAAACACATGGAAGATCGGCGGTACTTACCCGAGTGTATGGTATTCCGGGCGCTGTTCTGATAGGCGGCACAGTAGCCCTCGAAGACGCGCAATACTAAAGCGTCCTCCTCAAATGTGGGCTGATTCTTGCGGCCGCTACAATAGCTGGCCAAAGCGTTGTTGGAGCTGCCCGAACCGGAACCGGAACCAGAACCGGAGCCGGAACCAGAGTTCGAACCGCTGATTGTATTTAACAAACTAGGCCGCAAGGGCGGCGTCGGACGCAAACAGCTGATGGTCCAGTTAGCTGCAAGTATATAGGGATATATGTTAGTTGAATTTTTAACCGAGAGCAAAGGTGTTCCAAAAAAAGAACTAGTTCTGGAAAAGAGAGTCGGTTTTATTTTGAATTAATGTGTTAAAAAACGCTGCACATAAAACAACATAGAGATGGCAAACTTATTCCCCTGATGAAAATTCTTCGGAAAGGGACCCTACAATTTTCTTTCCTTTTTCGTTTTTCATACAATCAACATTCAAGTCATTTTTAAAGATCTTTGTTTTAATCCACAATCCACGCCCTTGGGGGATATAGGGTGAGGCTCTAAGCTTATGTCGAATTCTAGTGTTGAAAAGCGCCTAAGATTAAACAACTTTTATATGGCAATCTTATTGTAGCAACAAGTATTGAGAGAGATAACCGATATTTCATTTGATTTATGCGAATAAAAATAAGCACGCTTAAAATTTAAACCTGAGCGCCCGCCAGCTGTTATCGACTTTCTCACACCTGCCAAAAGCTAGTTTTAAACGGAAATGAAGCGAATTTGACAACACTGGCGGTGGACTTACCCTTTGTGCTTCCTTTCCTTGCGTTTGGCACCCCCGTTGCCACCGCCGCCGCCGCTGCCGCCGCCACCGCTGCTTGAATTGCCGCCTGACTGTTTTCCGTGGTGGCCGCTGCTGTCTTGCTGTTTGGTGTCGGGGCTAAATTTGATTTGTGGCTTAGCGCCCCCAGATGACTTGGTAGACTTGGTGGTTGTGGTGGATGCAGATGATGTGGTGGAGGCTGAGTGTGCGTGTACTGGTTGTAGCTGAGGTGATGATTGAACGACAGGCTCCGTTTGTGTTGTGACATCGATGTGGCCGCCGCCGCCGCCGCCGCCGTACTCGCTCCCGCCAACTGTTGCTGGCTGTTGCTGTTGCCGTTGGGCGTCTGATTGCGGCTGCCGGGCGGCAGCAACAGGCTGTGGCTCGATGGCGGAGACATCTGCAATAAAAGCGACACAAATATGCATTCAATAAAGTTGCTTCAAACTGGACTAAAATAATGATATATGGGCGGCTTTAGTTAGTTCTGATGAGAGAGAGAGAGAGTACTTGGCAGCTGACAGCAACAGTAACAGCAGCAACAATTGCAACATCAACATCAACAACAACAACAACAGGCTGCTCTCCTTCGTGCAGCAGCGCAGCGAGCAAAGCTTTCAGCAAGCAAATCAAATCGAATCAGTTTGTTTCTGTTTTTTTTTATATATATATAATTTTTTTTCATTTTTGTTTTGTCTTTTGTGTGTTGCTGTAGCGTTAGATAAATGTTTTGTAATTCGTTTAGCTTTAATTTTCATTTAGTTTTCGTAACTCGAATGCAAATTGAACGCCAGAAATAAGTTAGTGGGCGCAACGTTTGCAGTAGTTGGGTGTTCCATGTGGGTACAAAGCCAGCTATAGTCGACGAACTAGTTCATTTGGAATACAAAATTGTCTAAGAAGTCAAACATTAAAAATTGCTTGTAATTCACTCAATATATGCAACTGTTTATGAACTAGTTCACTATGTAAATTGTTCATTTGAACTAGCTCACGTTCCGATTTATGACAAATATTTGGCTGTTTAGATTTGTAAGAATATAAATTCTTGATAGATTGAAATATTCATTTGAACTAGCTTAAATATATTACTCTATGGATTCATTACGAATTGTTATTGAACATAATTGGATTGAGAAAATATGTTGAAACACCAGTTCTTTGAGTTGGAACTAGTCTAAAATTCCTGGTTAAATCTTTCTGGAACTAGTCTAAAATTCCGGTTTTAAAATTTTTTGGAACTAGTCTAAATTTCCTGCTTAAAACCTTTTTGGAACTAGAACCAAATTTTCTAGTTTATAAACTACAATAAGAAAATGCTTAAAATAAAAAAAAAAATATTTAACTGGTTCAAAATGCACCTCAATTGTTACTTTAACTAGGGATATCTAAGCTAAGAACTCTATGGCGAACCAGCTACAATTGGATTGATTTAATTTCGGAACAAGACATTGCATATGTTATTTTGGTTCCCTTGTAATCTAGTTCAAGCAAAATTCAATGCCAGCAAAAAACCTTTTCTTTCTGAACTAGTTCGAAAAAAAAACCGAATTGAAGTAAGCTTGAATTAGTTCCAATTACAAAGAGTAACAGATCATCTGCACTCTGCGTAATTACAGGAGGTTAGTCAAAGGCATGTTTTTGGATGACGGAATGTTTCGACTTGAGTGGAAAGCAGATTCGTTCAAATGAATTGAAATGATTTGAGAATTTTGGACGTGCTGCATTTGCCAAATTTGAATTAGAAAAAGATGATGTGGAGGAACGTGTGAGCAAAACGAATTTACAAAACAATCAAAACGGAACATGTCGTGCACGGAAACAAACGTGCGCCATGCCGCATGCCACCTGGATGTGATCCATCCGGGCGACCTGGCGACCTGGCGTCTCACATCGGTTTGCTTGCCTTCTTCGGTTGCTAAAGCTACGCGTGCCGCACAAATGGGGCAATCGAGTGACGTGGAATACGATGGCCGTGCGGCAAAAGCATCCCGCCGCGCCGCCTGACTGAGATCCATATCCTCCTCGCTGCACACCGGACAATTCGAGCAGGTCGAGGCTGTGGTTGTGGTTGTGTTTGTAGTGCCCGTGCTGGCCGCATAATCGCCGCAATTGTGGCACATGGAACAGTATATGGCGCCCTCGCTGAAACCGCTGGCGCCCAGCGAGCAATAGCAGCTGGAGCATATGGAGCCGGTTGAGCAATTGGAATCCTTGCTGCCGCTGGCCAACCCCGATGGCAGTCGCTTGTTGTACGCGCTGGCTATGCCACGCAGCACCTCCGGCGGCAGGCGTTCCTTCTTCCACCAGTGCGCATACATCCCAGAGCGAAAGGTGGGACGTGGCTCCAGATGGAGCTGATCTGCGGAGCAGCTGCCGCTGAATTGTAGCCCATTTGTTGCGGTCGTGGCATCATCCATGGAATTGGAGCTGGCCAGAAAAATACTTTTTGTATTGATTTGGATTTGTGTGGGCGCTATTTGATTGCTGGGTGTGGCAAGTAGCTCCGGTTGTGGCTGTGACTGTTCCTGTGGCAGTGACTCCTCCTCCTCCTCCGCCACCTGCTGCTCCTGCTCCTGTGTTTGTTCGGGCGTTAGAAACTTTTCGCGAAACATGCCGCAGACATCAAAACGCCGCTCCGGCTCCACATGATCCAGCACATCGACGCCACAGCACTCGGCGCTGGGTGGATCCGGTGAAGCTATGGTACAGCTGCCGGCCATGCCACTATCACTGGAACGCGGACTGGGACACTGCGAGCTCTCGCAACAGCGGCACTTGCATGGGCCGTGCAGCGCCGGCTGCGGCTGCTGCTGCCCCCGTCCAGCTGGTGGAGGAGGCCGTGGCGCAGGCGCAGCACTTGGATCCATCTGCAAATATTGATAGCTGATGCAGCGTCTAATGGAATCTCGTTTCGAATCCCGCTGTCTGCCACCACTCGCATCTATGCACAGCTCGTTGCTGGAGCTGCTGCGCGCGGCGGGCTCATCGCGTGTATTGCCCGTGCTGGGGCTGTCACTTTTGTGGGATGCACGCTGCCGCTGCTGCTGGTGCTGCTGCTGCTGCTCCGTGCTGGCCGCCACGGCCTGATCGTAGTTATAGAGTAACTCCGCCTGCAGCTGATCGGGCGCATTGAGACAGGCAGCTGGCAAGTCCATGGTGCTGGAGTGCACACACTCGTCCTCCGTCAGCTCGTCGAGCAGCTGGGCATCGACGCTTTGATTCTGCTGCTGCTCCTGGCGTTCACGCCAGCTGGGCACATAGACTTCGGTGTCGGTGCAGCGATTGAAACGATTGCCAACAAATATGCTCGGCATGCTGTGCCGTTCGGTGGGTGAGCCGGGCAGCAGCTGTGCGGCGGCGGCGGCGGCGGCAGGTGGACGCTTCACCAGCTGCGTCTGTCTGAGATCATCGTGAATGCTGGCCAAATTCTCGCAGGCCGTAAACGCGCCGCCGAGCCGTGCGCCATACAAAGAGCTCGCATCGGAGCTTTGCTGCTGCAGCGTGGAAGGTTGCGACTGCAACTCCAATCGCTGCTCCTCTTCCAGCTCCCCCTCCAGCTCCTCCTCGAGGCAGTTGGTTATACTGGAGCCACCCAAATTAATCGTAGCCGTCGAGGTATGCACACTGGAATTGCGCTCCGTGGATTTGCGTGCCAGCGCACGCAACGCCTTGGAACCGATGACGAGCGACTCCTTTTTGAGCTCGTGCTGCACGAGCAGCTCATCCGCATCCAGCGAATCCAGCTTGATTAGATTTATGGAGCTGCTGTGACGCTGCTTGCCATGATCCACAAAAGTGCCCGTGGAATTGCACGTAGATGCGACGGGCCGGTTCTGATAGAAGCGCACATACTCAAACGGATCCGAATTGCAGCTACGCAAATATTCATCGTCGTACTCATCGTCATAGCTCTCCGAATCCGTGGGCAGCTCGAAGGCATCCTGACGCTCCAGTTCCGATTCCTGCACATTGGCATTGATATCCTTCAGCAGCTTAGCGGTGGCCTTGTGGCAGCGCTTCTTCCGCAACGCAATCCGCTTGAGATCTATGCTCTGACGCGCCTGCGGATACAGCAGCATCTTCACAATGGCGCTCCTCAGCCGACCGGCGCGCACCAGCCGGGCAAAATGCGCACTCAGATTGGCATAAGGCGCTGTCGGTGGATAATTACTGGGCGGCAGTGTCAGAAGCGGACGCTGCTGCAGCGGCTGACTGTAGTAGGCGCACAGCGAGAAACGGGTGCAATAGCCGCGCGCGTCCAGATGCTGACTGAGCTGCTCAGTTGCCAAGGTTGACAAAGATGTGGAACAGTAATGAAAGCTTCTACAATTTCTATATATATTCTAAATTAAGGCTCGTTTGCACAGGCTCTTGGCAAAGTTCTTGGCACAGCATACAGTCAAGCCGCTTCCAACGAACTATCCTGGGACATTCCCAGATTTTTTCAAAGAAAACTTATCTTTTCTTTTATATAAAACTTTTTTCTATTAGGTTATTTTTCGACTTTGCCAAACAGTTGTGGCCAGACTAAATGCAGCCAAGTTAAACTACATTGCAAAGTGCCTGTTAAACTTGCCAAGTGGATGAGAAAACGGCCCTTAAGCTCAGCACTTACATGCGACGCATTCAGCTGCTGACCGCCCAGCGAGGAGTTGCTCAAATTACTCAGCTGACGCTTAATGCCCATGGGCAGACTGGGATTGTTGGCATTCAGTAGCTCCACCCACTTGTTGGCCTCGTTGGGGCCCTGGCAGACGGCCACAATGCGATCGATAAGCGGACTGCTAATCTCAAAGGCATGCTTTATGGCATCCGTATCCTCCAGGCGATTCACAATGATGCCCGTCAACGGTAATTTACCCTATACAAGAAATGATTTTATAATTATATTCAATTGGCACTCTATGCTTCCCAGGCTCACCTCATAGATAAAGGCGCTCATGCGCTGGCTAACGCTCAGTATAAGCAGCGTCTGGGGAAATAGCACAAAATAGCGATCGCGATGATCTGGGCCCACAGCCACGCTGCCCATGTGTATGATATCGCCCAGTGTGCTCAGCTCCTGACCCTGCCAGTTACGCACCGGGCCCGTGAGCACCTGCAGCTCCAGCTCCTTTTGGCGTCGCGTCGCCGAACATGTGGCCGCAATGTCCTTGTAAACGGCCACGCTGCGCTGAGTATCACCGCGATCCGGATGACTGCTCTCCATGTGACGCTCCAGCTCTTGCAGCATGGCCGAGTACTTGTCTAGGCGACGAAACGGCTTGGACAGGCCAGTAGTAAGCACTAACAGACCCGGCGTCGCAGCGCCCTGACGCTCCATATACTTCTCCAGCTCGTCCCTGTTAACGGAATGGAAAGTGAGTAAAGTGGAAGTTGAATAAGAGCCCCGCCTCATTGATTCATTAACAAGAAACTAGAATTCGAATAAACGAAGTTCGATCTGCTGAAGGCTGCAACATGTTCGATCTGGTTGAGTTCGACCGAACTTTCTGTCGAGTCGAACAAGTTTGAGCCTTGACTCGCTCGATCGAAATAATCGTTTGACTCAATGCAAGGCTTTATTTTATATCTCTCTTTTGAAACCATACTCACTTGTACTTGTCCAGTATGACTATGGCCTTGGGGTGTGCGGCACAGTAGGCCTGGTGGACTTTTTTCATGAGCGGCGCACTGGTTAGAAATAGTTTACCCACACGATCGTTGCACTCCTCAATCTGTGTGAGCAGCTCTTCGTGGGTGTGCACCACCTCCACAAAGTTGCACATCAACTGCGCGTACTCATCCTGGCTGAGTCTGTTGGAGAAGTGAGTGAAGAGGATTAGCAATCAGTTTAGTTTTCGGCTTATTTTATACTACTCACATTTGCGTCTGCTGCATGGGCTCCAGGAAATTCTCGAGCAGTCCCTGCAGCTCAGCCACATGGGCACGCTCCGAGTCGAGCAGATCTTTGAGCACCACAGATCGGTATTCTTGTATCTCTTCGGGCGGTCGTATGGTCTCGGCCAGCGGCAATTGGGCCTTGTACTCGTTCACATAGTTGCTGGGAAACCAGCCAGTCTTATCGTTCAGTGTGCCCTCCCACCAGCCGCCATCCTCGCGTTGTGTCACCGTAATCAGGTCGCCCTTCTTGAAGCACAGCTCATCATTGTTGCTGCCCATAAACGAGTATTCGGCGCGCACAATCAACGGTTGCTCCATTTTGTGGTTGCAGTGCTGCCGGCTCCGTTCAAAATCCTGCTCTAATTTCCTTCAGCTGTAACAAATGAAATGAAGATAAATAAGTATTATGGCGTTTATTTAAAAGAAGTTGAAAATTGATTTTCAATTGAAACCAATTTGGGCATCAAATATTATTTGAGTAAAAATATGAGAAGTTCTCTTCGGATCACATTTTGTGCTGTATAAGTTCACAGTTCATGTTTGTTGAACTTGAAAAATCAGCGTTTGCACAACATGAAATAGTTCAATGAAATTTTCTAAAGAGCCGTCATATATCTATCTATCAATTAGCTATACTATATATATGTCTGAGGAATTGCGCTCTTTTATGGCACCCACGCGAATGCGTTCTTCATTTCAATTCATTTTTAGCGCTTGCCATCTCATTATTATGGCCAAAAGCCATTTTCGGAAAAACATCTGTTCGCTCGCAAAAAATAAAAAAAAAATAAATAAAGAAGAAAAACATTCTTGACATTTTATTTTATAAACTGAAAGACTCGTGAAATGGTTGGGAACGATCTTTAGAAATTGTGATTACGAAATGTCGAATCTGTTTGCCCAAAGGCAATAAAGAATTGAATGAAATATTGTTTGCTTTAAAAGCGGTATATAAATCATAAGCAACAACAGCAACAGATTGACCATGTCAGGGGTTTCAAAACAAATTTACGAGCGCACTTTTTACGATATGTTCGAAAATTAACTCAAGCGTTCTGCACAAGATCCTAAAACTTAATAGCCCAAAAAAAAAAGACAAAAATCAGTTTTAGGACATAAAAATACAATATGTTGCATATAAAAACGATTGTGTGTGGATGCCTTATTTCGATTGTAAGCTAATATGTTGTGATTACAACAAATCCATTTTATATACTGCGTGACTCTGGGGAGCTATAAAAATGATCCTAATATTCTTGTTCTTCTGCTCAAATGCAGTTTATTTTTTCTCTCTTTTGTTTTATTTCTGGAATATTTTCGGGTGCAAAGTTACTTCGATTAGATAAGAAGCAAGTGAACAGATTAGGAACATGATTAATTATAGTTGGATATATTTTCTTTCTTATTGTTTTCATTGTGACTAATGGCCTGTCAATAGATATATTAATCTACCTATAAGATCTATTAATCATTTATTTAAGATCTAATAATTTTCTCATAAGACGAAATAATCTCCTCAAGAGATCTATTAATCTACCCATGAGATCTACTGATCTACATCAGTAGAACAAATTATTTGTCTATAAGATCAGTTGATCTACCTTATAAGATCGATTGATCTATCTTTAAGATCTGTAGATGAGATCAATGGATTTTCCTATGAACGATTTCCTGGGTCAGTTGATGATCTACATATTTGTAATTATAAGATTTATTGATCTATCCATAAGATCAATTGATCTATCCAAATGATCAATTGTTCTTCCTGTATAGATCAGTTGATCTTCCTATAATAGCTATTGATATATTTATAAGGTCTATTGAAATCTATCTATATCATCAATTGATTTTCCTATATAGATCATTTCATCTTCCTTTATAGATCACTTGATATGCCTTTTGAGATCTGTTGATTTATTCATTTTTGATCTACTTCTAAGTTCTCTTGATCTAGGTTGAAAGTTCTTATTTGTTTTCCCCTGTTGGAGGCTATTTTTCTTGTATTTGCTAACAATATGTTTCTTTTAATCAGATTGCAGGAAACTTGGAGAAGAATCGTCTTCAAAAAGAATTCTTAAATTTGTCGCCAGATTAATCTGCATTTTCTAGAAATTCTTATTAATATATAAACAATCTTTATGAAAATGTGTGGGAGCAACAGGTTCTCTTTAGTTTTTTTTGAGCCAATTTTATGTGGATGTCAAACAATTGCGAATCGCTAAGAAATTTTGTAGTACATTTTTTATTATGTTTATTCCAGATTAATCAAATATTGTTTTGTTTTTGCTTCATATGAATAAGCGCAGAAATATGAAAGAAAAACATGTTTTCATATAATTTTCCTGTATTTTGGCCAAAATGTGGTACGCATCCAAAAATAACAGCGCGACGAAAAATATAAATCTCGATGTGCCGACTTCCCATATGCCAATGGAAATCAGGCGATATCTGGTATATATATATACATATATATATATATATATATAAAACAGAAGTATGTGGGCCCAGACACTTGCCAAAAAAAGCACACACAATTTGTTCCATTACAGGTATTAACGAGAGTGTCTCACAATATGTTGAATTGGCTTTGGGGCTTATATGACAGCTGATTATGGCCAAGAGAATATAATTTCTCAGACAAGGTCACATTTATAAAAAAAAAACAAACATTTTAATTTTGTTGTTTTTTACACACACACATTAATATGCACTTGGCTCTTCCTCTTTTGCGCCTGTTCAACCATCAATTGCACGAATTTTCCGCCGCTTTTCACATTTGGCTGCACCGCACGCGTTCATCGCTTCCACAAAACTGCGACAGCGGCGATTGGCGACAGCCACGGCCCACAAAACGGTCAAAATGGCAACCCGAACATTTTCACGGCTTTGCACTGTCGCCAGTGTTGCCAGCTTTGCATTATTTTCCCACCAAAACTAGCTTTTTTCTAAACTGAATTTGCGGTAGATATTTAAAATAAGCGGAAAGCAAAAAATTCAATTCTTTTTTAATACTTTCGAGTGTTAAAATAAATCAATACTTATCTAAACAATTTCTAGACGAATGACACGAGTCTGACATCCCTAAGCTGTAAAAGATTCCAGCGTTTGTCAACACTGTTGTTAAATTTTTCACGCATTACTTTAACTTTGCCCTGATACCTGATGTATTGAAGTTTATAAAGTTATAAAATGTTATCAAAGACATTTCGAGTTGTACTCAAGCCTTGCTATACATAATTTTATTAAAAAATCGAATTTTAGAGCTTTTGTTATAGCTTGCTTCAAAAATATTTCAAATATTCACCAGCCAAATACAAATCAATAAAACATTCTAAAATGTATTTTATATAATTTATATTTTAATAAAATAGAAATTTAAGTCTTTAAAATCTTTCCTTTCACCTAGAACTAGATTTTACCGCTGCTCAAAATTAGCCAACACTGGCGCTGTCACAAAGTATGTGCTGTGCTCTCTCTCTCTCTCTCTCTGGCACTCTTTTAATGATCGCATAGCCCCCTGCTAAATACTTAACACACTCGCATATATCTACTATATAGTCTATATGGCCGGATACAGCGCATATTTTCATGAAAAACACACACATGACAAAACGAGGCAATCAAAATCAGAAGCCGAATCGGAATCGGAATCAGCATCGTGTATGGGGAATGCGAAACAACAGCACGCGCAGGTTGGTCTATTATATCAGAGGATAGGCTACAGGGGGTGAAGGTAGCGAAGCGGGGGCAGTTTGTGTGTGCTTGAGCATTTTCCTTTTCATTGAGAAATATTAACATGGTGTTTTTCTTTTGTTTTGAGAAAATCCATAAAAATGTTTTAGTTAAATCGTCAAAAAGATGGCAAAAAACAGTTGGCATCAGAGAAGCTTGCTGTTTGGCTGAGAAAATGCGTCATATTTGTGGGAACTTGAATATGACAAAATGTGTGGAAATATTTGGGGAAAATTTTGTGTATATTTAACGGAAATTCACCTGTCCCAATCAGTTTGTGTATGTTTATGCATGATTCGCAATTCGTATTCCAAAGTGAGATCAGTGAGCAACAGGTTTTTGGCATAGAAAGCAATAAAAGATTGCTGCGAACGGTTTTATGGAATAAGATACATATTTGCAAAAGAGATAAGCATTTGCCATAGAGATAAGAAATTAAATTAAACAGCTGGGAATAAATCATATTCGCTAAAAACTCGGATTAAAATATGCCATACTCGAAGCTGGGAAAAGTATTCAAGAAGAGTTTAATGGAACGTCTTTTGTCTTTCCTTAAAACTCTTGTCATAAAGTCAACGCGTAAGCCTAATCAAAGTGAGCTTAAAGCTCTTCTTCTTGAATCCACCCAAAAGTGTGGAAAATGCGTGGAAAATTAAAATCCGAAAGAAAACACAAAATTTAAAGGTGATTCCTAGGCCATAACATTTAATCAAATATATTTTGAAAGATATATTTATATCTTCTTCCTCCTCTCATTCTCTTCGACTTCAAGCACAATAAATTAGTGCTTAGCGTAACCCTGAAATATCATAATGTCTATTGGCTGGGGAAAACAATCATCAACAAAACATAAATTTCCGTAGGTAGACTATATTGCAGCTCATCAATGTGCATGGCCGCCAACGACAGTCAAAATGATGCAAGCAGAGGTCATGCCCGAGCACACAAAGAGTCGCGGTCGCAGCTGCGGCCGTCGTCGCAGTCGCAGTCGCGGTCGCAGTCGACGCCGCCGCATGCCAAACAAAATTTTAATTAATTCATTAAACTTGCACATGGCGCCGACGGAGATGGCAACAGCAGCCACAACAACAACAGTTGGAGGAGGCGTCATTCAGTGCCACCAAAGCGGCAAGAAGTGCATCCACACACTCACACACACGCACGCACTCACACACATAAGCTACGGGAGTGCAGATTGATGTGTGTATGCCCTGTAAACTTTGAAAAGTGTATCCAAACCGTTGGCAACACTTAAAAGGAGCATAAAGTTAGTATAGATAGATAATAACTAAAAAAAATAAGTATCGCTTTTTTATCTTCCCATCGATAATTTGGCGATAGCACGGCCATGTTAGTAGACGAAAGCCAATAGCTAAAAAAATAAAATTGATATCGCTTTTTTATCTTCCTAGCGATAATTTGCCGATATTACTGCATTTAAAGCTAAATTCCCCATATACTTGATCTACATACTCTATCTTTAGGCTATCGTTGTAAGATAGCCAAAAGCTAAAAAAAAATTGATATCGCTTTTGTATCTTCCTAGCGATAATTTGGCGATAGCACGGAAATTAATGCTAAACAACCCATATACTTGATATACATACGCTACCTTTTGGCAATGTTATTTTACAATAACCATAGCTAAAACAAAAAGAGTATCGCTCTTTTATCTTCCTAGCGATAATATGGCGATAGCACTGAAATTTAAGCTAAACAACCCATATACTTGATCTACATACTCTATCGTTGGGCAATATTAGTATAGAATAGGCAAGAGCTAAAAAAATGGTATCGCTTTGTTATCTACCTAGCGATCATTTGGCGACAGCACTGCAATTAAAACAAAATTCGCCATAGCCTTGATATAAACGTTAAGGTTTTAAAGCCAACTTTGTCTGATACATTCTTCAGCATTCTAGAGTATCTTGCAGTCGATAACAACCAACTGCAATGTTACTTGTTTCGAATATAAACATTTTGACTATCGTAAACGTATCTGCTTAGCGATACTTATTCGACGTTGGCATCACATGTTTACATTATGCGAAACAATATTTTTGCAGGGTATAGAGAGCTCAGAAAACGAAAAATAACAAAGAGCAACAATCTGAACGACAGATCGTGCTGTTATTATGGCAAATAATTATAATTATGGGGATGATGATACTGAAACAGCTTCCGGAAGTGCGCAATTCGATGAGGGAAATTCACATGGCACTCTTTTTCCTTTCTGCTTACGGTTCGACATTTTGGGCGACAGAACATGAAAACCCCAAGAAAATGTAAACAAAAAACCAAAAATAATCTTTGGGTTAGGTGCGAAAGAATTGGCAATTGAAACAAGCACCAAACTATACAATCTATGTAACATTTGTACACAAGAATAAACAAATCACAGCACAAAGTCAAAGAAAATGCAAGGAAAACACACAGAAGAGAAGAAAAAACAAGTAAGAGGTTCTAGTCGGGAGCTCCCGACTAGGGGATACCCTGAACCCTCTTCTTCCAACATCAAATGCATATACATATATTCTATTTTAGAAGCTATTTGTCAAGTTTGGTGACTCTAGCTCTTATTATTTACCAAAATTGCCCAAAAACAGGATATCGATATCGATTTATATCGGTTGCTTGGAAACGGAGTAAGTTATCGATTATCGGAAACAAACTCGATCTGCGCGGGCACTAGGAGCACCTACATCTAAAATTTCTCTAGCTCTTATAAGTTCTGAGATCCTTGCGTTCATACATACGGACGGACGAATGGACGGACGGACGGAAGGACATGGCTAGATCGACTCGGCTATTGATGCTGATCAAGAATATATATACTTTATGGGTTCGGAGATGCTTCCTTCTGCCTGTTACATACATTTGGATTCTGCACAAATACAATATACCCTTATACCCATTTTTAATGTGTTCAGGGTATAAAACACACAAAAACCAAACGAATGCAGTTCGACAGCCAGTAAAATCTTGTCACGGCTGGTTCTGCTGAGTTTTAGGTTTTGGGGCACTTGAGATTGCATTTCAGTATAGAGAATTATGGACATAATATAATTTGATTGCATCTCTATTTATATGCAAACTACAGAGACAGAGACAGACTTCCAATTGGACGCCCCCCATTTGTCGAGTTTCAAGTGGGCTGCGGGAAGTTCATGTTATTCCTCACATCAATGTTCTTTATTTACTCGTTCTTCTTCTTGTTCTGGTGTGGGCGGGCAGTTCATAATTTGTTCAAAACGAAATATCGAATTGCTAACCGAATGTGGCATATTTTGTATCGCATCGACACAAAAACGAGGTCAACAGCAAAACAGCGAAGAAAAAACAAGAGTGTCTTAATTGGGTATGCCCGACTAGGCGATACCCTGAACCCAACGCCAACATCTACAAATATTCCAGCTTCCTTCTATGCAGGCATTACGTTCTTAATTAACTTCGGTATTTATAGTCCGATCTTTATGAAAATTTTTTGTGTTTACTCCACAATTTTGGGTCTTATAAATTTCAATAAATTTGGATGAAAATAGCAAAAGATATTCACAAAAATAAATACAATCTTCAAATTACAAGTTTCTAGATTTTTGTAGTTCCGACTCAGCTCTTAATCCACATCAAAGATATTTACTTATAACTGAATACGTCTTCCTCCAAAGCGTTACATACTGCATGACATAATTATCATGCCCTCTCTTTATACTTTATCAGGGGTGAAAATAATATTTGCTTTGCATTCAGAAAACTGAAAAACCGAAGGCACATAAGTTCTGAATGTTGTCTTGCTCAGTTTTTGATTGGGAGGGAAATATTCATGAAACGATTTCATTAATGCACACAAAAATAACAATAATAATGCGATGGAAACTGAGTTGGAATGCCGCAGACAGTGCATTTCATTTATGAAACAGTTCCAAATGCTCTGCAAACAGTTGAAATGTTTTGACACGACGAGAAAAATATATATTAATATATGGAAAAGGGAGAGTCAATGACATATTTGGGATGAAATCATAAAATATATCCAGTATTTACGTCAAGCATAATCCAGAAAATATAATATAATTGAATATATATTTTTAAAGCTTTTTTATTTAAATTATATTTATTTTTCTTTAAGAGAAATAACTCTGAAGACATTTTTAAAAAGTCAACAATAAGCTAATGAGACAAGTCGGGCGTAAATATCTGTAATGCTAACTAATATTGTCCGGCATTGCGCGTCAAAGTGCTTTTCATGAAACCTAAAATAAATTATTTCCAAATTTGTCGAAATCCATCAAAAATGTATTTCTTAACTTTGGTATGAAGAGCTTTTACACCAATTTGAAGTCGATCAGTTCTTGCCCCATCTTTCACCGACTGGCGGGAGTTGTCGGAAAGGTGTGAAACTGGAATTCACTTGCGTCACTAAAAAACTAGCTAACTGCTGTACAAAATAATTTGGGATATGCGTCAATCAAACTTAATCAGTTAGATATAATAGATACTGATATTGATTTTCGACTAAATTTTATTATAACTCTTTTTCCCTGAGCTCGAGTAGAGGCTATGAAATTTAATTACTATTACAGTTCAACTTTACTCTCTAAAATAATATATGGATTTCTATCTAAACTCGAACTGTTCTATGCACAACTTAAAGCTCTCACTTTAAGCTTTTCCAAACGTTAGGAAAAGCAGAAAACAGACGTACCATCTTTTATGTGCTCCGGACTTTATGCTCATTGCAAATCCTTAGTCCCCAGGTGAATAACATAAACTGACGAAATTATTTTCTGCCCTTTCTTATTTTTTTTTGTAGACGTGCACATTTTCTGTTTTTTTTTGGCAACAGTTCAAATTTGTTTGCTGGGGACCTGTGAGTGGGGTCGTGTCAAGTGCGACTCCTAGAGGACTCCTTTGTGGTGTCATTTGCCCAGCACAAACAAACAACGTCGAGGACGAGGCATTGCCACTTGAAGACGGGCTGACTGCCTGCCAGCTATTGACCCTATGGATTATGTACAGCATAAGTGGCGGGCACTTCAACCTTTTGCGGAGTGCAACAACTTCAGCTTGGCAATAAATAACATTTGCTAGAAAAAGCCGAGCAAGAAATGTGTTGAAAATGTGCCCTGCTTGCTGCTGCTGCTGCTTCTTCTTCTTCTGGCAGAGCTGCAGTCGCGCAGTGCAGACAATGCAGCGCCAAGCAGCAGCAGCAGCAGACACCCAGTAGGAAATTCTATGATATTGACAGCATGGGTTTTTACATGCCGTGTTTTTTTTTATACTGACATTGTCAAAAGTCTCATGGACATCCAGGACTTTTCTGATGACCTGCCATGACAGTTGTCTTTTAAGATACGATACATGTAATGCTTTTAAAAGAAATCCTTAAGTGAAATATTACTATGGTTGACATGTTATCTTGTCCACCTGGGCTTTGTCATAGAGATGCGCTTTGGCTGTATGAGTGCGTGTGTGTGTGTGTAGCTTGTGTGACGCATCCAATTGTGGAGAATGGGCGATGCCACTGAACTTTGCCTATGCAATAGTTAAGCGTTGCCACCTATGAGTCAGACTGCAGCACGCCTAGATCTATGCAACTCTGTACGGAAGCTCAGCTTCTGCTTAAATTCTATGTTATGCTGTTGTTCATCTTACCTTTAACTTTGTTACGTTTTAACAAACATTTGTTGCGCTTCTGCTGCTTGTCGTCGTTCGTTGTGTGTAATCGTTGTTGTTGTTGTTGTTGTTTCGTTTGTCGTTTTTGCACGCACAAAATAGACGGATGAGTAATGAGGCGAAGCCCCCTTTTGGCTGCTGCTCCCCGCACAATTTTTTTTTTTTTTTGCTTTTTACTTTTATCTAGCGCGGCTGCTGTCGCCGCCGGAGCGCATTTGCTTAGGCACGCGCATTAATATGACTAAAACACGCGCTTTCACTCAATATACATATGTAAATACATACAAATATATCTGTATATATATATATATAACACAGTGCCTTTTTCGTTTGGCAAGAGAATTTCTATTTCTGGGTCTGAACAGCGCCGCAGACACTAGAAAAACACACACGGCCACACTATACCGTACCAAATGTCGCGTAAATACTGTTGCTGCTGCCGATGCTGAATAGACGTTCTGCTTTTCGTGTTGCGATAACAATTTGTTTAGTTTTATAGCTGCATTTGTTGTTCAATGCCACTTTTAATTTGATAAAACTAAAATGTGCAATAATTTTCGACAGCAGCGACTAAACATAAATAAACAGCAGTGTGACCGCACGCGGCAATTACTAAAATACCTAAGTACTCGAATACAAAATACCAAAATTATATCGAAAAACTGTTACGATATATCGACAGAAAAAATTTAAGATGACAACAGTACTAAGTTGCTACTCTGACAATATTCGTTAAATAAATGCTGAACATGGCAAGCAACACGTTTCAAATTTAAGATAAGTTATTTATATATTTGGATATTAGTTTCCGTGTAACCTAGTTTAAGTAATTATTTTGTAAAATATCGCGAACTAATCGATTACTTTACAGTGCTGCAAAACGTCGCTATCGTTTCCAGTGACAGTTTCAATCGCAGCTAAGTTTGCTCACTTCTTTCTTTCCAAAACTCTGAAGATGGTGAGTGGATGTTGCTATGAGTTGTGCATTTCAAAATTGATTTAAACCAATATAGAAAATGCATAAACAAGTGCAAATGTGTAAATCTGAGCGGTAACTGCGTGGCATGCAATACAGTAAATTGTGGCATGCTTGAAATAAGCAAAAGTGAGCAAACCGACAAAAAAGCGACGACGGCGTGCAAACATAACCTCTGCCATGTGTTTAACCTGATAGCCACCGTCTGCAGTTGCCGCTGTCCATGCACGTGCAATTATATCCAATATTTATAATTGTTTTTATCTCTGTTTAACTATTTTAGTCGAATATCAAGAGGAAGAAGACCAGGAAGCTGCGTGGTCACGTCAGCCACGGTCATGGCCGTATTGGCAAGCACCGCAAGCATCCGGGAGGTCGCGGTAATGCTGGTGGCATGCACCATCACCGCATCAATTTTGATAAATACCATCCTGGTTATTTCGGCAAGGTCGGCATGAGGAACTTCCATTTGCGCCGCCAGCACAAGTTCAGGCCCGAAATCAATTTGGACAAACTGTGGTCTCTGGTCGGACCTGAGAAGTTCGCCGAACTGGAGAAGGAGAAGAGCACAAAGGCGCCAGTTATCGATCTGGTTCAATTTGTAAGTTTTATTCCATATGCTGGAATAGAGAAACAATTCGCGCTTGGATTTTTGTTTGACATGAAGAGACACCGAAGGCGATGGGCGGACTGAATGCGACCGTACAATTGCTCTCCTCGTGTTGCGAAAAGCCTTTCAGATCAAAACAAAAACCACACCTGGATTACAAATATTTAGCGCCAAACTTTGAATATCAGTTAATAACGTGTTTCCCTTTCCCACTTTCTTCCTCCAGGGCTACTACAAGCTGTTGGGACGCGGCCATTTGCCCGCTCGCCCCGTCATCGTTAAGGCCAAGTACTTCTCCAAGAAGGCTGAGGACAAGATCAAGAAGGCCGGCGGTGTCTGCCTGCTGAGCGCCTAAGTTTAAGGTGCGTCCCAAGCTCTTGCTAATATTTACATTCTGTGCTTAATATATTTTTGCTCTGCTTGCAGATATTCCTCTTCTAATTGCAACTGAACGTAATACATTCGACCATCAAAAATGTATTTGTTTTTTAATAAATTTAAAAGAAAAAAACAATTTATTGTGTATTCATATTTCTGCTGTGCTCTTTGTTGTTGTTGCACCTTGTGACGTCGGGGGTGATTTATTGCATCGACCCAATGCCTGTGGGAAACCTCACGTGTGCATGCGGGCATATATTATATAGAAATATACACGTTTCTAATTAAGCGTCAACATTTATGAGAATCGTATAAATATATGATGTATATATATGTTATCGCTTACATTTAAACATAATTTGAATGCGTCAATATTTGCGGTTTATTGTGGCAACAAGTGTGAGTTTTTTATGTAAAGCACCGACCTTGGCATACCCTGTAAAAAAGGTGTTCTAATATTTTAATAGTCAAATCTGACATGTTTAATTTTTGCAAATATTAGAAACGAACATCTTCCAAATATTAAAATTAGAAATAAAGAAATCGCACACAAATTATTTCACCAGTTACACTTTTAAGAAAATATTCAGTTTGTTTTGAAATAAATACAGTATTAAATTTTTTTATTAAAAATAAATTATAATTATTTGATTTATAGAACATACGCCCTTTTTAACGATTTTTGCACGCTACAGGGTATGTGCATGGAAATTTTCTAACTTTGCTATTTGGCGAAAAGTCTGGCAACCTTGTCGCTATAACGAACGGCAAGTCTCGCAGTTGCAGCCAGATATTCGCATTGCCTGCTGCTGAACGGTTGTGTCGAGCGCACTCGAAAAAGAAGAAGCATTACGTGTAGGTCAAGGTAGCACTTTATCTGTTACATTTCCGGCACCTGTGTGGGGGAGGGGGGGGGAGCGTCCTTGAGTGAAGGACGGCGCAATTAAAAGTGAACATTAAAACGAGTTGTACAAAAAAAAAACAAAACATAGCCATTGTGAATGGGGTGGGGGGAAGGGCGAAAAAACAAACGGTGAATCAGTACTGGAAAACAGATTGCGGAAAGTTTTTAATTCATTTCCATGACGTGCGTATTTTTGCAGTAAACATCCCCCCTATTACAGCGTTACATAACGAGCAAAGAAGAAATGGCCCAGAAGGTATTGCGAAATGTGACGCACTGCATCTTCGACATGGATGGCCTGCTGCTGGGTAAGTGTTGGACCTTTATGGGATATATCATAGTTTACACATGCTTCTAACCAGACACTGAGACCCTCTACACGAAGGCCGCCCAATTGGTGCTCGATCCGTATGGCAAGACGTACACGTTCGATGTAAAGCAGCAGATAATGGGTCTGCAGACGCGTCAGGTGGCCGAGTTTATGATTAAATGCTACGACCTACCGTTGACATGGGAAGAGTACGCCAAACAACAGACGGACAATGCACGCGCCCTCATGCGCGATGCCAAATTGATGCCAGGTACTAATTATTGATTCCGTATTCGCACCTATCCTTGCAGACACTGAACGCATTTACGAGGAGATCACCAGGCAAATAGCTGGCACCTTCAATCGCTCCTATCCCGAGGCGGTGCGTTTCAAAGTAATGGGCACCACGGAACAACGATCCGCCGAAATAGCCGTCCAAGAATGCCAATTGCCCATAAGCGTCGCTGATTTTCTCCAGCGCTATCACAAAATGTGCTGCGACCGGCTGCACAAGGTGCCGCTGCTGAAAGGTTAGCACCACCTCCGTTAAGGCCGTATTCGTGTAGAGATCGGAACCAGTATACACATCTATATAACGCTCATGTCGTCCATTTGCCAATTGCCATTGCTTTCGTACTAGATCTCTAAATTGGCTTAGAGTCGGAACTTGCAACGAAGAGCTCCTAGTTGTGGGTTGTCCGAGAGCACCAGTTCTTAAGGAACTTGGCTTTTAATTTGAAAGTTATATCCTTTATTTCTTATAATTAGTGGAAGTAGAGAATATGCTCTATAAAGCGTAAATTCATTTGTGTTCCTAGACTTACAACTAAACGTAATCCTAAACCTAAACCTAGATTTAAAATCATGTCTAGCTCTTATTACCTAGGAGAGTCACGAATGCCACCTTCTGCCTGCCTGCCTGCCTGTCGACATACATTCGCACAAAACCCACTTTCAATGGGCACAGGGCATAGCAATATATGATACTAAAATGTTATCCAAATCCTTTGCAGGTGCTGAGCGGCTGCTACGTCATTTGCACGCAAACAAGGTGCCCTTTGCCTTGGCCACCAGCTCCGGCGCCGAGATGGTCGAGCTGAAGAGCACACATCATCGCGAGCTCTTCGATCTGTTCCATCATCGCGTGTGCGGCTCCTCGGACAGCGAAGTGAAGAATGGCAAGCCGGCGCCAGATATCTTTTTGGTGGCCGCCAGCCGTTTTGGCGATAAGCCCGAGCCGAAAAACTGTCTGGTGTTCGAGGATTCGCCGAATGGCGTCGAGGCGGGCAACAGCGCCGGCATGCAGGTGGTCATGGTGCCCGACGAACGGCTCTCGAAGGAGCGTTGCGCCCATGCCACCCAGGTGTTGCGCTCACTGGAGGACTTTAAGCCCGAACAGTTCGGCCTGCCGCCATTTACCAATTAAATAGTATGTTTGACCAATGTCGCCTATCCGTGTACCTAGCATAATTACTAAGCCTAAATACAGATGTGTGTGTTACTAGCATTCACTCTCTTTAATTTAGCCTACAATTGATGCCATAATACAACTCTGTACTCTTCTGGTCGCTTCATCTGCCAACCGCCTCCAAGTGCTTCTGTATGTCTGGAGCGGATTGGTTTCTCAGCGAGATTGAGACTTCCTTGCCTTTGCCTGAATTGCAATTGGATACAATATGTACTTAAGATACTTGGTTTCACTACTTACCATAGCGTGCCCATAGTCTCGGCTGCACGCCGGCGCATTCTCTTACCAAAAAGGCCAAGTTGGGATTGTTTCTTTTCAGATTGGGATAAAATTTCTCAATATATTCCCTGTCAGAATTTTTGGTTTTTATTAGATTATGTAACTTAGGAGTGAAAGATGCTTTGTAATAAACCTGGCGCCCTTGGAAGCATCACATTTTGGATCTAATATTATGCGCACTTCCTTTAGTTTAGCCGTAAAAGCAGCAAAACTGGCTAAACTTATACGCATCTCAGCGGAATATTGTGATAAGCTGTCAAAAATCAAATATGAACTGTATAGAGAGTTGCCAGATCGTTTTGTTTGCTGTGTTTACATTTTCGATGAAAACTTAAGACTGTGGGGCAGCACTTGTTATCGATAAGCCAAAGGCCGTGCAACTCTGCTGTTTGGCAAATTATTCTAGAATTTGTTTACGCGTGTATTTCATGTCAATTTATTTACAAAACAGCGACAATATGACATCTGTACATTGTCAACTATGGATGGGCAGCGTAAGTAATACATTTCCAACTCTAGAACGTTACAATATACCTTTGTGACATGTATTGCAGCTGGAATCGTACATGACGGAAAACTTCATAATTGCCGCATTCCGCAAAATGGGCGAAGATCCCACAACGGTGCGTCTCATGCGCAACAAATACACTGGTGAGCCTGCTGGCTATTGTTTCGTGAATTTCATATCGGATGATCATGCGCTGGATGCCATGCACAAGCTAAATGGCAAACCCATACCCGGCACAAATCCCATTGTCCGTTTTCGTCTGAACTCCGCCAGCAATTCATATAAATTGCCAGGTAATGAGCGTGAATTTAGCGTCTGGGTGGGCGATCTCAGCTCAGACGTGGATGACTATTCGCTGTACAAGGTCTTCTCCAGCAAATACACATCGATCAAAACGGCCAAGGTAATACTGGACAGTCTGGGCTTCTCCAAGGGCTACGGCTTTGTGCGCTTTGGCATCGAGGATGAGCAAAAGTCGGCCTTATACGACATGAACGGCTATGTTGGCCTGGGTACCAAACCCATTAAGATCTGTAATGCAGTGCCCAAGCCAAAGGCTGAGCTGAGCGCCGCACTAGGAAATGGTGGCAGTAGCTATGGGTACGGCGGCCCCAGCACAACCTCAACGTCCTCGACTAGTGCTGGCGGCGCCGATTACTCGCAATATTACGATCCAACCAGCACCTATTGGCAGGGCTATAATGCCTGGCAGGGCTATTATGAGCAGGGCGCTGCTCCTTCAATTACGGATGCTGCTGCCTACTATCAGCAAGCCATGTCCCAGTCACACTCGAATCCGCAGACTCTCGCTCAGCATGCGGAGGCTTGGAGCGCCCAGCGCAGCGCCCAATATGAGCAGCAGCAGCAACAACAGAGTGCACCGCTTAATAGCGCTGCTGCAGCTGAGGAGGACTACGGTCTGGAGGAGCATAAGTTTGTGCTGGACGTGGAGAAACTTAATCGGGAGACAATTGATTCAGATCGACATCTCTATGATGCTTTAGAAAGCTCTAAATGGCTGCCCATAGAGCAATTGGAGGTGTTTTAGGTTTTAGTTATAATATTAAATATAAAAAATTTTAAATATAAAATTATAAAAAACTGCATCTGTGTTGCCAAGTTTTTGTAAAAAAAAAAAATAGGGCTAACTTTTTTTTTTTCATATTGCCGCAAGCGCATTTTAAATAGCCAGATTTGGCGAGAAAAAGCAGAAGCTGGCAACACTGTCAAAAATTTATCTGCAAGCAATGGCCAACATACGTTCAATAGAGATGTGTTTATATCGATTCTCTGGCAAACAATATTGATATCGATAGTGGTCCAGCTCTATTACGTTGCACGATTTTTCTTACATTTTGCGAGAAAAATCACAAATTTATAATTAAATGGCGCCATTTAAACGGGTACGCCAACCAAAAATAACAACACAGGCGTTGCTTGATTTCGATTTGGGCGAAAGTTCATCGGACAGCGATTTTCTGCCCGACATTGACAACTGTTCGGATGGATCAAAGGACGAAAGCGACGGCGACGGCGACAGCAGCGACGCCAGCAGCAGCAGCAGCGACAGCAGCGATAGCGATGCAAATGCAAATTCCGGCGATGAAAGCGAAGATTCGACGCTGCAGCTGCGTCAGCTGCTAGCTGAGAATAATGCACAGCAGGAGGCCGCCGCAGCAGTAGTTGCCGCCGCACCCGTTGCCCCCGCCCCACGTGTGAATGGTTTCAACATCGAGCCGGTAGCGCCGCCAAAGCGGATGTGCTGCGTGTGCCTGGGCGAGCGCAGCGACGATGTGAACGAGATTGTCGAATGCGATGCCTGTGGCGTCTCCGTGCACGAGGGCTGCTACGGTGTCAGCGACAATGTTAGCATCTCCAGTACAAACTCTACCTGCTCCACGGAGCCCTGGTTCTGTGAGGCATGCCGTGCGGGTGTCTCGGAGCCGGACTGTGAGCTCTGCCCGAACAAGGGCGGCATTTACAAGGAGACAGATGTGGGCAAATGGGTGCACCTGATATGCGCACTGTATGTGCCGGGCGTGGCATTTGGCGAGGTGGAACAGCTCAGCTCGGTGACGCTCTTCGAGATGCAGTACAGCAAATGGGGCGCCAAGCTGTGCTCCCTGTGCGACAATGCGCTCTTTGCGCGAACGGGTGTCTGCATTGGCTGCGATGCGGGCATGTGCAAGACGTATTTCCATGTGACGTGCGCACAGGTCGCCGGCTATCTGATTGAGGCACATCATGAGGATGATGCAGCGGATCCGTTTTATGCCCACTGCAAGGTGCACTCGGAAAAGGAGATGATTAAGAAACGTCGTCGCAACTATCATACGCTGCGGCTAAACATGCTGCAGCAGGCCAAGCAGCGGGCGCTGCTCCAGCAGCAGCTGATCGAGGCTAATCCCAATCCAGCCCAGGCGCGCATACAACGCAAGCTCCTGAAGATTCAGCACAAATACGCGCAGCACAAACAGCTCAAGCCAACGCCGTGGGTGCCCACGCAAAAGATGTCACGTCTGCTGACCAGTTCCGCCTCCGCTTGCCGGCGTCTGCTGGCCAAGGCGGAGTTCATGGCCGTGGATGTGCAGCATCTGGAGCAGCGCGAGGCGAACATTCAGGCCTTGCAGGACATACGCAAAAAATGGCATATAGCGCCCGCATTTAGCGTTGAATTCACAGCCTACTATATGGATCGCATAGTGCGCATGTCGGAGTTCAAGCAGCAGCAACAGCAGCTCCTGCAGCACAATTCCGCGCTTAGCCAGGCGCAGGATGTGCTGCGCGCCAAATATGACAGCGCGCTGGAGGAACGCAAACATGTTAAAGCCCAGCGCGATGCACTGATCGCGTCTATCAAAGCGCTGCACAACAGCCTGGCGCAGCTGTCGCCTGGCCTCAGCGCTGGCCTGCCCCATGTGGAGCTGATTGCACGCCCGCTGCCGGAGCAGCTGCCCAAATTGGCGACGACGCCGCCAACGCCGACGCAACGGCCCATTTCGGTGCCGACAGCGGCAGCGCTTAAAATGGGCGTTGGCTTTCCGCTCGCCCATCTGGGCAACAAGCTGGACAACTCCCGTCAGCTGAGCACCCAGCAATCCCAGCTGCATACCAGCAAGGCGGCGACAATTGTGCCCGCCGTCAGCTGCGGCATATGCAAGCGCAACAACGATCAGCATCTGCTGGTCAAGTGCGACACCTGCAATCTGCATTATCATTTGGGTTGCTTGAATCCGCCGCTGACGCGTCCGCCCAAGAAATCGAAACAGTATGGCTGGCAGTGCTCCGAGTGCTGTGACAAGTCGGATGTATCCGATGCGGTCACCGAAATCTCACCGGGTCCGCGCAAATCGCGCACGCGCTTCAACAAGGACGGGCATTTGGTCTATGTCGAACGCTACTCGCTGGACGATTTGCCCAAGGAGACGCCACAGCAGCTGAAGCGTGCGCTCAACAAAACGCTGCCCGCTGCTCTCGACGCTGGCGAGGATCTGGCCAAGTCGCCGAAGCGCAGCAAGCTGCAGTCGCCGCGCAAGACGCCCGTGAATGGTAGGTAGCAGTTGCTGTCCTAATCTTTACTAACTGCCCAAATTCTCCACAGTGCAAGCCGCAGTGGCCCACATGGAGCTGACGTTGCCACAAGCAGTCGCCACCGTTGCGCATTTGTCCGGCTGCGAGGACTCCATCGACGACTCCAGTGGCAAGCAGTCGTCGCGCAAGGGCAAGCGCAAGGATAAGCACAAAAACAAGCACAATTTGTCATCGGATACGGAAAAGTCCTTCAACAAGGAACACAAGCGCAAGCGCAAAAAGCGCGCACATGCCGATGAGAGCAGCGCCTTGGACAATGCCAACTCCGGGCGACCCATTAAGATTATCTTCAAGACGCTGCGTTTGCCCGGCGAAGATGCGCCCGAATCGCGCAGTTTTTATGTGCCCGCCAATGCGGTGCGCTCCGTGGACGAAGCGTCCCGACCCACCTCCGTGGAGACTGTCGAGGATGTCATACAGCCGGAGCAGCCCGCCACCACGCCCATTGTCCTGGTGTCCACAGTAATAACGCCACATGCTGCCATAAGTACGCCACAAAAGGCCAAGGAGACGGCATCGCCACAGCGCAAGGTTAGCCCACGGAAGTCGACGGCGCGCAAACAGCGTGTGGGCAGGCCACGCGTCTCCAATCCCAAGGTTAATGTGGAAATCAATTGTTGTGTCTGCACACAAACCGGCAAGGCCAATCAGGTTGTGACCTGTGATGAGTGCCATAAGCACTATCACTTCGCGTGCCTCGAGCCGCCGCTCAAGAAATCGCCCAAAATACGCGGCTACTCCTGGCACTGTGCCGACTGTGATCCCACGGACGAGGAGGCACTGCCAAAAAAATAGTTCTTACCAATTAACTAATTAGTTTTCTACGTATACAAATATTATTTATGATTAGGTTTTTCCACACAGCCCAAGTATTTACGATTTTTAAATGTCACTACTTTGTAAGCTAGAAATTGAATGGTCGGAACGATAATGTCTAGCCAGAATTGTAACTATATATATTCATATTCATTATCATAATTCTTTGACTGCCCCACACTATGCCTATTGACTATCATAATAAAATAATTTCATTCAGGTAATATGTATTTATATCCGAACAAGTTCAAAGAAATCGTATTGGTTCGCTTCACGAAAGAAAGTATTAGATATAAGATATAGGAGATAGATATATTTTCTCTATATGTGAAATACTTAAATCTAGCAACATTATTCTTGGTTCTTGGTACCCTCAAATATCCTATATAGACATGCGCCAAATATATGTATGTATGTGTGCATATATTTTGTATGATTATATTTAAGACCAAGCTTACCTCTCGTTGCGCTGCAAATTCAAAATTAAATGTATTCTTAACTAATGCTCTCCTACGCGATTCTCATAAATTTAAGTAAGTGACAGCAGAAAGCGGCGGCTTCAATACTGGAGGAGACGGCTTCAACTATAGAGGAAGCGGCTTTAACTAAGGAGGAGGCGGTTGCAACTGTGGACTTCAACTAAGGAGGAAGCGGATTCAAATATGGAGGAGAAGGGAGCTTTTACATTGGGTTCGTATGATAAAAAACTCATGCATGTGAATTTACAGGTGAGTACGTGATTGAAAATATATAATTATCCCAATAGGCATACTTTCATATAACTCCCTCTTGGTTAATAATATACCCGCTCGGCTCCTTTTTGCAATAAGAAATATATCTATTTATCTCAAGCCCAGAACAACAAGCATTATATAATAATTATATACATATATCTAGGTGACAAATTAAGAGCGATAATTATATTGCTTTGAGAGAGACTTGGACATGTAAGGGCCGTCTAGGGCGTAGCCCAGTTTGCGGTAATAGTTGCGCGTACCGACGCCCGAGATGACCGCGATCTTTGTGCTGCCGTGCTCCTCGCGGGCAATACGCTCCGCCTCCTCCATGAGCAGCGTGCCAAACCCCTGGTGCTGGAACTTGGTTGGATCACGTGAGCTGACCGGCACTACAGAGCCGTAAACATGCAGTTCGCGCACAATGGAGCACTCGCCCTGCAGTTCCGGCCGGAAGGTGTCCGGTGAGCATTTGCGCAAGCGTAACAGGCCCACAAGTATATCCTGCTCGGGATCCTCGTATGAGATGAACGTCTCCCAGCCGCCGTTGGCCACATAATCGCGTCGTATCAGCTCGATCTCATACGGACGAACCTTGTTGTGTATCTCTTGGATGCCGACCTCGCGTGTGCGTACATCCCGGCAAACGGTGCCCAAATCCTTCATGCGCGCCAGAGCCAATTCACGCAGATTGCCGTGCTCCACGCCCGAGCTGCGGACGTAGACGTGAATTTTCATATGTGATTAGTTTTGTTAGGGCTTCATGGACTTACCTAACCAGAGGCATGGGTATGTCACGCTGAACACGATAGACGCGTGTCCAGGGTGGCACCAGAGCCAGTATTTTGGCCACCAAATCGACAAGCATCGACGGTGGATACGACTTGTAGCGACCCGTTTTCCACAGCTCGTAGAGCCCAGTGCCACGAATGACAAGTGTGGGATAGATTTTGAGGCCATCCGAGCGAAAAGCGGGATTCTCAAAGTACTCGATAAACTGTTCAATGTCGCGCTCAAAATCCACATTGGGCAGATCGGGCATCATGTGTGTGACAATCTTGTAGCCGGCATCTTTGCCCATGTTGAATGTCTCGCAAACGGCGCGCACCGTATGCCCACGATTTGTGTCCCTGGCCACATCCTCATAGACGGACTGTACGCCGATTTCCAGGCGTGTGCAGCCATAGTTCAGCATATCGGAGATGTGACGCTTCAGGCAATAATCCGGACGTGTCTCGATAGTGATGCCAATGCATTTGGTGCGGGACTTCTCGGAATAACGCACCGCTTCCGCCACGTTGGCGCTGCTGTGCCCGGAGAGAGCATCGTGCAGATTGCGTATAAAGTAATCACGATATTCCTCCGGCAGGGCCATAAATGTGCCGCCCATCACAATGAACTCCACTTTGTCCACCGAATGGCCCAGCTGCTTCAGCTGCTCGACGCGATGGCGTGTCTGCAGGAATGGATCATAACGTGCCCGTATGGCGCGCATTGAGGTCGGCTCATAGCCCGTATACGATTGTGTGGAGTACTCGAAATCGCTGTCCGGTCCGCCGGGGCAATAGACGCAAATGTTGCCCGTAAAATTGATGTGCGGACAGCGATGCGGCTTGCACATGACAGCAACCACGGCAATCTACAAATATTTATAATTTTAACTACTGCAAGAGTTTATTTGATATTTGCTTGTGGGCCATTTTCTTACGCCGCTTGCGGTTCGTATGGGCTTGGCACGCAGCTTGGGCAGCAGTATCTTCTTGGCATCCTGCGGCACGGCTGCTATGATGTCCACCAGTCGCGGCGAGCTATCCAGTCCATATTTCGATGATATTAATGATTTCATGCGATTCAGATTCACATCTTTCTTGTCTTCGTGTGCCTTTAGTAGTTCCTGTATGATTTCACCGATGACAAGCACCTGACGCTCCTCGCGACTGAGACCGATAGCTGCAGCGCATGCAAGTAAATAAACTTTTATAAAATATACATATTATTAACAAATTGTAGCTAACCCAGCTTCTTTTTCTGCTTCATTTTGTTGCTGGCGTAATTTTATAAATATCGCACGTGTGGCGCTGCAGCTGACAGACAGAGAAGTTATCGATAAGTCACTTCACTATCGACTGTTGCGTCATGACGTCACAACCACAATTTGCAATTGAAAAATGAGACCTGAAACCAACGGCCTTTTAACCTATATGAAGATTTTTTACATTGGACGTATAAAAGTTTACATATATATAAAATTATTTTAGTATTTCCAATTGAGTTACCAATTAATTTTTTGACAGCTAAAGGAATTTAAAGTCACATGAACCCTACAGTTTCAACCATATCCATTTTCGTAGCTTGTGACGTCACTTTCAGTTTGTAAACAAAAACTACCTTTTTCATTTGCATAAGCCAAACTTCTGTTATCGCTATCGATATTATATCGATGCCTCATCAAGTATCCTAACGTTGCATTACGGGAAAGGCATCGGTTGGGGTTATTTTTTGTTAGAAGAAATTTCAGTGCACCAGGAAAATGACTAGCTGCGTGCAGCAGCAAAAGGAACATGAGCAGTTGCTGGAGCAACTAAATGCCAGCGATGATGAAATGAACGACACAGGCGACATCGCCGAGGAGGAGGAGGACGACAAAGATAAACAATTGCTTACAGAGCCAACATTTTGCTTTTCGGTGTGTATACAAAAAAAAAATACAAAAAAAAAATATTGAGAAAAACCTTGCCTAATAATGCATGTGTGCTTTCCACTGCAGAACAGCAACGCGTGCTGGGTATGCAATGGCTATTATGGACCCAATTTCGGCGAACCGCTTTGCGGCGCCTGTCATGCATTTTTATACAACGCACAACGCGCCGAGGAGCTATTGACGGAACTGTCCGACGACGAGGACTCGGGCAATGACGAACCGCCTTTCAAGGACAAGCAGGAGGATGATGAAACTGAGAATGATGCGGACATAATGGGCTTTGAAGATCTAGAGGATGCGGAACCGCCCGCACCGCAACAACAACAACAGCAGCAGCAGCAGCAACAACAAATACAACAACAACAACAACCGGCAAACCAAGAGCCGGAGCAGGAACTGCAGGAACTGCAAGCAGCACAACTACAGGCGCCGCCAGAGCAGCTGTTGGAACCGCAAGCAATGCCAGCGCGACGCGGCACACCAGAGCATGATTTCGAACATGAACGTGCGGTTAATCCATTTCTGTTGCCCATCAAAAGGCCACGGCCCACGGCGCCGCACGCGCTACCGCACTACATGCTCGAGCTGGCCGATGGACGTGCCCGTGCGCATGAGTACAACGCGCCGGATGCGGGCAGCAGCGGCGGCAGCAGCAGCAGCGGCAGCAAATGCATCACCAGCCGCATACCCGTCGAGGTTATGCTAAAGATATTCGCCTACCTGGACGACATGTCGCTGTGGATGGCCAGCGAGGTGTGCAAGCAGTGGCACGAGATCATAGTGAAGAACACGGCACAGAGCATGTGGAAGACATACATCAAACAGCGCTGGCCGCTGTTCGAATGCCTCACCGAGCTGCCCGATTGGTACAAGCTGTATGGTGCATTGATGTCGGCGTGTTTCTGTCGCACCTGCTTGATTGAGCTGGGCAGCCAGTCGCCGCCGTCTGGTGAGCTGGGAAACGTGATACGCAATAATTTTCTGCGCGGCGAGGCAAATCTATTGCACAGCTACGAAGCGGAGGGCATTTCGGCCATACCATTGGATCGCCAGAATAATTATTGGCAGGCAACGATACTTGGACCGCCTGGCAGTCCCTATGAGGGCGGCAAATTCTTTCTGTTTATATACTTTCCTGAACGCTATCCCATGGCACCGCCAACGGTGCGTTTTCTAACCAAAATACTGCATCCGAATGTGTCCAGACATGGCGACGTCGGCATTGACATATTCCAGCAACAGAACTGGTCGCTGGCCCTGAATGTGGCCAAAGTTTTGTTGTCCGTGCAGAGTCTCCTCACGGATCCCTATACCGAGGTGTGCATGGAGCCGGAACTGGGCTATATCTATGAGCATGAACGATCGCGTTTCGAGCAGCTGGTGCGCGCCTGGACCTGGAAATATGCCATGCTCGAGCTGATGACGCCACAGTGAAGCAATAAATTAGCCAAGTAGCCTTGTTTTGCTTTCATGGACTGAATGTTGGAAACATCTAAGACACCCTCAATTAAGTTGTTTTTGTATATTTATGTAACTATTACCATAAATGTATTTAGTTTAATGCTGCCATTTATATTGGCCTCATCCCATAATATAGTCAAAATTATGCTTAATATATATAACACTTGGAAATGTTTAAACCTAAATTTTAATGTTGCTTGCGGAAATGGTAAAATCTAGCTATATGGTACAATATAGCTGACACCGTAATTTCCAAGATCTTTCATAGATATAAGTTTTCCATGCAGCATTCTTTCGTCCAGCTTCAATGAAGGAACTCTCCCAATCTTTGCGCTTTCTCAATACTCGCATCACAAGAGGTAAACAGAAATTAGTGAGTCAGCTTTAGTCAGTTTTATATATATAGATTATATGTTTTACAGCTAGATTACAATTAAGCAGATGCGACGCCTTCTACTTCGTCCAGGACACCTTGGGTATATCGAAGTGCTCGGTGAGTGTGTCCAGATGTTCATTGAATTTCTCTACGCGCTGTTTATGCGTCGTCTGCGCCTTGTCCATGATGCGTTTGTTGCGCATCTTCTCCTGCTGTTTCTTGGTGGCCAGCTCCGCTTTGGTTAGCTTCCGCTCGTAGCCGCTGGTCGTGGCTGCGGCAGGTCCGTTTACAGTTTCAATCATTTGTTGTTCGACGAACGCTCTCTGCAGTGCATCCTTCTCCTTCTCCTCTTCCTTGTTCTTGTGTTTCTTCTTTTTTTTCTTGAGTTCGGTATCGCTTTTGAGTTTTAGTTTGCCTTTGGCAGCATATGCATATGCGTCGGACATTGTTTTTATTTTGTTTTCCAAAATAATGCAAGCGATTTGTTTTTTATTGATGACGAGGGCTGACAAACGTTTCAGTATCCAGGGCTAAACATTTTTTTTGCGTTCGATAGTTTCCCACTATCGATAGTTACATGCAACGCTGAATTTACCGTTTTATTTGTGCGTCATGTTGGTTTTAAGAAGTATAGAAATTAATAATTGTTTCTTGTTTAATATTGGACAAATCTATAAAGTGCTCGCAATATAGATTAAGTGAAAGCCGAAAGTAACAGTTAAAGCCGAAAATCAAGTTGTTTCTATTGTCTTGCATTGCAACGTTACAATTTTGTCTCTTTGGAACTTTCGCTCTTTGCGGCCACCCACGCGTCGGAGGTCCGTGTAAAAAAAGCTCGCATGCCCACTGCAAATGTAGTTGTGCGCGGTTAGGCTGTCGTGTACTTGTTAGCATTCAGTTGAATCCCAACGAGCGACGGAACAACATCTCGTGTGTTGTGCACACGCGCTCAAGGCGCGTTTGTAAATATTTAAAAAATTTATTCATAAATTGCTAAAACTCAACATTTTACCGAAGCAGTTGTATTAAAAAAAAATTAAATTAAATCAGTGCTGATCGTGTGTGTCAAGTGCGAAAATTTTCGGAAAGATTCAAACAAAAATTTACAAAAAAAATTCTAATATTCAAAAAATAATAAAAAAATTTTCAATTGTCTCAAAAAAAAAAAAAAAACCGTAAAGTGCGAAGGTGAAAATTCTGCCCACTCTCTGGCAGTCTCTCAAAAACTAACGGTTCAGACATTAGGTGAAAAAGCTCGCTCAACTCGCACATGCGTGTGTGTGCGTGTGCGTGTAACTGTGGACTACTCTGTGTGTGTGTGTGTATGTGTGTGTTGGTTTTAGCATCCTGTAGCAAGTTCTTCACTCAAGGATAACAGTCGTAAAAGCACAACAATGTAATGAAAATATCAGAAAATATCATCATCATCGTCGTCAAGCAAAAGTATTACATTTTTATGTGCTTGTTCCGAGGATACATGTGCATTTGCCACTGTGCGTGTGTGTGTGTGTGCTTCTGTGTGTGTGTCTGTCCCCTCAATGGTGCCCTTTTCTTACGGCTTTAGTCTCCAATGTTGCCAGTTCATAAATTTTCATGTCATTTCTCGTTTAATTCGTCCATCAGCGAATTTGCATGTTTGAGATTTACAGTTTCAATTTCGAATTTCGAACATTTTAGCCAGCGACCGTTACACAAGCTGCGAGATCTAACGGTCGCATATAGCATGTAACAGGTAACCAATACAAGTGCATAACGCTCTCTTACGCTCTTGGCTCTCTCTGCCTGAAAAAAAGGCTTAAAAAAAAGCACGTCGTGCATATCAACAACGAGCTTCAATGTCATAAAATAATGTTAAGTTCGCATTAAAAACAAAAATCTTTTGTTGAGATTACTCTGACAGGCTTTGGTGGCACATCAAAAACATGTTATATGTATTCCATTTGCATTTAAGTGGGATATTTTTGTGGCATCAGGTTTTTTCGAGTGCCCCTCAGTTATTCAGACTAATAATCGACAAGGTTGCGGATTCGGTCGGAAGTCTTAATCGAAGGTCATAATTCAGGGCTACTTTTTAACTTTTGGTGGATAGTTTTTGTAAATACGCTGAAAGCTTTTCAAGGTGGACAAAGGACAAAATGTATGTTAAAGAAAACCAGACTTATTCTTGCCCATTTATTCTGAACTTCAAATAACTTCAAATAGTATTAAGAAGAGTCATATAGAAGATACTTTTATTGAAAATCTAAGACAATTTATATTGAGACTACAAATATGATAAAGGCGATGTCTGCGTAAGGAAGCTTTATGTTAATCAAGCTTTTACTTTAAAGATCTTTCGCTTGCTTGACGCTTGTAATTCCCAACAAGTTCAAGCTGCGCACAGAAGAAACAGTTAAAGACTCTAGCTGAATAATATAAGAGTAAATGTGTTGCCTAAGTAAACCACGAATGCAAAGTTTATTCAGCCTCGAATTTAAAGTAGACATACAACTATTTCAAAGGCAACTAAACTATGTTCTCTGAGTCAATTTTGTTAACTTTATAGCCTAGCTACAATTTTACATTTTCGACAGGAAAAGTGAAAAAGTGGCCGCACGTAAAATGCTTGTGGTGCAAATAACTCAAACATTTGCCACATGTGTGCTGCAAGGCTTTTGCGTTTAGTTTTATTTATTTTTTTTGTTTATTTATGGCCAAATTGTGTGTTGACGTGCCAGAAAAGTTGTGCGAACTTTTTCATTAGAAGTCGAGCCTAAAATGCCTGTCGCATGCAAAATCGATTTGCGCACTTCATATGCGATGTGCTGTTCTCTAAAGTTTTCGTGTCAGATGAATTTTGAATAATTCAATGGTTGCTGCTAAATGTTTTATTCAACATGTCGCAACCGCATACAGAGATTGATTTAAAATTCGCAAAATGTTGGTGTAAAAGAGCTGCGGTTACAGATGCGTTATGCGTTATTGAAATGCCATTAGCGCGATTTCAATGGGCAACGCATACGCGGCGTATGCGCAATCTGTCGAATAGCATTTATCCTTGGCCAGCGAAATGCAGTTGTCTGTTGTTCAGCGTGTGCAAATATTAGCATAAATGTGTGTGCATTGTTGAACAAATATTTGTTTTGTATGCAACAGACAGCACAGCACACACACACACACACACACACACACACACACACACTAAACACAACAATAAAAAGTAATCAGCGCATAATAAAAATGCTTAATTGCAGTTTGAAGTGAAATTTCAGTTCGGTTGAGTTGATTTCTGTTTTTGGGTCTAATTGAAAAGCGTTTCTACAAACGGGAATTAATTGAAAAGCCAATGTACCTGCATGCTAATCAACAATTGCAACAGTTTTGTGGCCAGGCCAAGCGTAAGTCAGCATAACAACTGTGAATCCTTGGCGCAGCAGTTTCTAGTTGGCGGTGCTCTATGAAGGTGAGTTCACTTTGATAACAATTAATCAATTTGCCAACCAGATGAAAAATGTTTGTAAAGCCGGAAAAACTAATAATAATTAAAGTTCATTAGTTCTAGTCGGAAGTGTTCGACCAGGAGATAACCTGAACCTTCTTTCGAACCAACACCAAATGCAGCTCGCGCTCGGGGTGGTGGAAATAAGGATTTAGTTGGGCGTCGGTAGCTATAAAATGAAATATACTTGATCTGTATGCACTATTCTAGAGGCTACATCTCAAATTTGCTGACTCTAGCTCTTGAAACCTACGAGATTTAATAAAAAAAAAAAAAACAGTATTGCGATATTGATTTTTAACGATTGCTCGAACTCGTACTGCGCGAGCAATAGAAGGACCTTCGATCAAAATTGTAAGCGTCTAGCTCTTAAAGGCTCTGAGATCCTTGCGGACGGACAGACAGACGGACCTGGCTAGATCGACTCGGCTATTGATGCTGATTAAGTATAAATATGCTTTATGGGGTCGGAGACCCGTTACATACGCAAACCATCATACCCCATTCATACATTTTCAATGCGTGCGGGGTATAAAAAGTTGTATGCAACCACCTATTTTCCACGCTTGCGAGTGAAATAGATGCTTTTAAATACTTCAAAATGGGTAATTACTGTAATGTTATATGCAGAGCTGGACAGCTCTTAGACTTGCGCTACGCGTTGAGCATCAATCAGTCAGTTAGTCAATCCGTCAATCCGGATAAATAGTTATGTGTGGCCCCTCAATGCCACTTTAAAGCTCGTTAAACCAGCTGCACAATTTTCTCGTGCGCATTTGCCTAAAATGGAACCGCATTCAAGAATTACGCGCATAATTTAAAATTGAAATGAATTCGACCGCAGCCAATAAATGCGCTTTTAATTCCGCGCACACTCTATTATTTTATTTGCATACTACTTTTAGCAGCATTTCGTATATATTGTAATTATTTACTAGCACGAATTGTGCCACAGACGCGCCACAGTCTCTCGGTTCTGTTAAACCGACTGTTAATTATAATAATTAAAATCGAATTGATTTTCTGATGAAATACAAAAACAAAAAAAAAACATTTAAAGTTGCAAAGATTCCATAGGAGGTAGAGTCTCTCGACTGACTCTGACTTGGTTCGGTTTTTATCTAAAAAAAAAAAACATATTTAAGCTTTAATATTAACTTGAAATCTTAAAATAATATATATAATTAAACAGTTCTGGCTTTTTATACCCTGAACCCATTAAAAATGGGTATAAGGGTATATTGTATTTGTGCAAAATCCAAATGTATGTAACAGGCAGAAAGAAGCATCTCCGACCCCATAAAGTATATATATTCTTGATCAGCATCAGTAGCCAAGACGATCTAGCCATGTCCGTCTGTCCGTCCATCCGTCTGTCAGTCAGTCTGTCCGTCCTTCCTTTCGTCTGTCCGCCCGACCGCCTGTCCGTATGTATGAACGCAAGGATCTCAGAACCTATAAGAGCTAGAGACTTAAAACTAGACTAGATGTAGGTCCTCGTAGTGCCCGCGCAGATCGAGTTTGTTTCCGATAATCGATAACTTGCCCCGTTTCCAAGTAATCGATAAAAATCGATATCGATATACTGTTTTTTGGGCAATTTTGCTAAATAATAAGAGCTAGAGTCACCAAACTTGACATATAGCTTCTAGAATAGTATATATATATATGCATTTAGTGTTGGAAGAAGAGGGTTTCGGGAGCTCCCGACTAGAACCTCTTACTTGTTTATTTTAAATATGTTTTTGTTTAGTTTCTAATAAAATCTGATTTAATTGTTCGACGCACAATGTCGACTTCTCGTTAATAGACACAACTCGTATATATATATATAAAGAGTTGGAAAAATTGTTGTATGAATTCTCTATATAAATACATGATATGTGTTCAGTTTTTTTCAATCTGCCAGCACAAAGAGAATAGTCCAAGCTTATTTAAAGCTGCTTTTGTTAATTTCAAATTTATTTTTTATATTTTATTTAATTGCATGCACAGAAATGTTACTCATCATTGCTTTACATCCTCTAACAGGGTATCGCTTAGTCGATCACATTCGCACCATCACCGTGTCTGAACAATTGTTAATGATTGTTTTCATTCAATTGTTTTTGCTCTCTCAAATAACGAGTACTCATTGTGGGCTGCGTGTTTTATTTTTATGAATCAATGAATATTTATGGACTATGTAATTTGTTGTTTTGCTGCACGTAATTAGAATACGAATTTTTATTTATTTTTCTTTTTTCCACAAAAATATGTTATTAACAACTTTTGTGCGCCGTTTGCACAAATATTTGAATATTTGAATATTTATATTTCTATTTGATGAGCTAAGTCAATAAACTTTGTGGAGCCAGGCGCGAGCTAAATAGTATCGTTAGTGAGCACTGGTTTTGGGGCGTGGCACATAATGGGCGTGTAATGGACACGGTTTGCCATAATTAGCAATAGACCGCCCCCCTCTCGCCCTCTCTCTCTCTCGCCGTCTCTCTCTCTCTCTCTCGCTGTGGCCATTATTAGCCTAATTGCACTCAGTGTAGCCTACTTTCGTGCGCGGCGGGACTTATCGCAGCCACTGTGGGATTATCAAATGGTATTTCAGTTTACATTTAGAGCGCATTCAATTGATTTATTCATGGCCAAACCTTGAGCCTGACAGCCTGCACTTGCCAATAACAATAATATTAAATAATAATTGATTTTTCAATATTTGCTTTATTTATTTAATTAATTTTGTCATTTGTTTGCCAATTCCTTTACTTTGACATATTAGGACTTATTTAATTGGCACAAAAACGAATTCTATTGAAAAATTTTGCTTTATTTTTGTTATGCGCTTTTATTGTTGCTATTTTAATCATTTTATATTTCTTTGGCTTTTTCGGCCATTTATTTGTTACGGAATTCATATATTTTTTGCTTGGACTAAAATTTGTGAATACGATATTATTTTGTTATTAAATATTTATTTTTAAGGCACAAAAACGTGCTGCCCGGTTCTTGTAATTTACTTTACATATTTATGCGACGTACGAAACAAAGACAATAAAACTTTCACACACACACACACACTCACACACTTACACACACATACAAACGCCAGCTAACACATTTGGCAGCAAAGGAAAAGCAGGAAAAACGCAATTTAAAACAAGAGGTTCTAGTCGGGAGTTCCCGACTAGGGGATACCCTGAACCCTCTTCTTTCAACATCAAATGCATATATATATTCTATTTTAGAAACTATATGTCAAGTTTGGTGACTCAAGCTCTTATTATTTACCAAAATTGCCCAAAAAACAGGATATCGATATCGATTTTTATCGATTGCTTGGAAACGGAGTAAGTTACCGATTATCGGAAACAAGCTCGATTTGCGCAGGCAGTAGGAGGACCTACATCTAAAATTTCTCTAGCTCTTATAGGTTCTCAGATCCTTGCGTTCATACATACGGACAGACGGACGGACAGACGGACGGACAGACAGACGGACATGGCTAACTCGACTCGGCTATTGATGCTGATCAAGAATATATATACTTTATGGGGTCGGAGATGCTTCCTTCTGCCTGTTACATACATTTGGATTTTTCACAAATACAATATACCCTTATACCCATTTTTAATGGGTTCAGGGTATAAAAAGCAGAAGAAAAACTGTTGCCACTACTTTTGTGTTTGCTGCGGAAAAACTCCAAGGAAAACTGAAAAAGGACAATGCCCTGGGAAAAAGTACAACTTTTGCCAGATATGAGCAGCTGATGAAATGCGTACAACAATGCAGAAAGTAACCAAGAAATTGTCAGGTTTCAGTTGTAAAGAATTTTACTTAAGCTTAATTAACTATGCAAGGAAGTGTTGGCAACTCGTGAAAGGAAAAACCCTTGTGGGCGTATTTATACTGGAATTAAGAACAGCTTTTTATCGTATCGATTATTGCGTTAGTTGGTTGAAACCGGAAACGGAAGTAGGCGGTAGTGGGCGGATAAGCTTGTTTTGCTTTTCTAATGAAATCATAACCTAATTAAACGATAACTTATCTTTTATATATATATAGAGCATTAATATATTAACTTATCGAAATGCGCGGTTTATTGAAACTAAGCGTAAATATGTTCTGAAATCGTTAGTTAATTGTTTTTTATATCATTGTAGAGGGTATTCTAATAGAACGCATAGAAGCAGACGTTTCCGACCCCATAAAGTAGATATATTCTAGATCAGCATCAACAGCCGATTTGTTATATAGCCAAGTCCATTTGTCTGTTCCAATCCAAACAAGTCTCTCACTTTTCAAATTATCGTCTTGAATCGATTTTCTGTTTCGTACATTATATGATGAAACCAGCCGGATCGAACCACTATATCAGATCAGTTCTTTTAGGAGTCGATTGCAAAGAAGCATGGCAAAATATTTTGTTTTCCAAGATATTTTCATAAAATTCATTATAACTTAAAACTTTTCATATCTGTAAATCGACGTGCCGAAGATAGAAAGAAAGTAAGTACTTTCTCGTTACGATTCATGATACTCTTACTCTTCTCTCAAGTGCCTCGCACAGCATTGTACAGTCTTAAGTACTTAATAATCTTGCCAGGGACTACCCCAAATGTAAGCGCGTGTAGTTTAACTTAACTTTCTTTTTAATTCTTATAGCTACGATAAACAGTTAAATCAATACTGCTGGGCAATAGCATTGCAATGGATAAGCAATTGAAATCGAATTACAGCTTACTATAATAAACTTGCCAGGGACTACCCCAAATGTAGGCGGTTGCCTTTTATTATCATAACTTCATTTATATTCCTTATAACTTAAAACTACATTAAAGAATATAATCGATTGTTAATTAAAATCGATAAACAGCTTACTTTTATCCAAAAAATTATTGCTTTGTTTTCGATTAATTATTAAAATCGAATTGCAGCTTACTTTCAAGCTTGTCAGGGACTACCCCGAATGTAAGCCTGTTTCTCGTGTAGGTAACCTTTTTTTTTTCATATGTTTTTTATTTTAACGAGCTCATCTCAGGCGACGCGTTCTGCTCTCGGGCATGAAATGAAGCATCTCGTGGGTGCAAATGCTAAAGAAAGTGCGACAAGGATTTCAATACGTCTCCCTCTCTCTCTGTGTGTGTGTGTGTGTGTGTGTCAGCTAGTGTTTGTGTGTGAACTACGGCACAGTGTGGCGACCATTTTAAGTATTTTATATATATATAAATATATTTTTTTTGGCACAAATAACTCGTGAAAAATGAATGAATAGGGAAAGTTTAAGGTTTTCATTTCACGCCGAATAGCACGATTTTCGCTGCATATTTTAGGGCGCTACATTTGCACCTTTTTCCATATATGTATTATGCGTCTAAATTTGAATTTCTGTTTTTTTTTCGGTTGTTTTATATGATTACTTTTTGCGCGTGCCTTGGCAAAGTTTCGGCTCAGTTTATGTGTACCAACTCGTGCTCGAGCTGGCAGCCTTCTGACCAGCCACCAGCATTACCTTCACCTTTTTGCACGCACACACACACACACACAGATATACACACACACACACATGCATACACATGTATATGTATATGCGCTGACTGGCACGAAAGGTCACCCAAAAGCAGTTGCCTGGCTGCCAATTTATAAATGTTGTGTGTCTGCATAAGTGTGTGTGTGTGTGTGTGTGTGTGTGTGTGTGTGTGTGTGTGTGTGTGTGTGTGTGTGTGTGTCTGGGTGTGTGTGCGTGTGTTTTTTACTCATTCACACACACACACACGTACTTGCTGGCTTAAACTTTTGCGGCACACTAAAATTGTAATATTCACTTTTTATGCTGAGGCTGCTAAAAAAAAAAAGACTTGCTGCGGTCTTTGCTCACATTTTTCTCTTTTGTAGCTTTTTTTTCTACCCTTTTGGTTTTTCGGATACTTTGTAGTCTCTCTTTTCATGATTGAGGTTTGAGGGCAACTAACCAAAAAGTATAAGTGTATGCACAAAATATACCCTAAGAAATGCGGAGCATGCTTGGACCTTATGTTTAATGCATGGTAGAAATATTCGCATGGATATATATTTGCAAATTTGAGTCTATATTAGCGTTATCTAAAAGTGAATATGATAAATAAATGAATGCATAAATAAATGAATGAATAAGTGAATGAATAAAACACGTAAAAAAGGAAAAAAAAATAAATGAATAAATAATTAACAGTAAATAATTAAAAAATAAAAACAAATAAATAAATACAAATAAAAATAAATGAATATAAGTGAATAGGCAATATATAAATAACAAAAAAAAAGTTATATAATAAATAAAACTTAATAATTAATAATTAAAAATAAATAGTAATAATTAATAAGTATACAAGAAAATTAGTAATAAATAAATAAAAAAATATATATATATGACAATATATAATAAACAAAAAAAATTAAGTAAAAAAAAACACATAAGCCATATTATTATAAAAAGCAATAAATAAATAATATATGTTATATAATATTTAACAATAAATTCCACTTAAAAATTATATTAATAAATATAATATTTATCAATAAACTCAACTTCAAAGCGCGACACGCGCCCAACGCTAATTGAAGCTAATTTAAGTTAGGCTCTTTTTTTTATAGATATATTTTCTGTTATGTTTGCTTCAAACAAATACCAATATATGCTAATCATTGTTGATTGTTTAAGCAAATGAGTGTTAATAAGATTTTGTGGGCAATTCATAAACAGTTTAGCTTATGAACTCATCAAATCAAACAAGTTTCACGATATGCCACTCGACAGACAAGTTAGTTATGCCTATAAATTGAGCTTGACGCAAAGACGACAGTCAGAAGTTGCCCGATTGTCAAGATGAAAGCTGGTTTATTTCTAACTTTATTTGTGCTGGCTACCGTGCTAAGCACCGAGGTCTTTGGGGCTTTATCCCAGGGCAATTTCAAAAGTGACGGTGTGTAGCGCGATTTTCAAATAATATATATAAATATGTAACTAATATTTCGTGCATCTCAAAGCACATCCGGGCAAGTGTGTGCTCGATGCCAACACCATATTGAGTAAGGGTGAAACTAAGACCCTGCCCAACTGTCAGCTTCTCACTTGCAACGGAGACGGCGCAGCAACTATTGCAACGTAAGAGTTAAGGTCTTCCGTTTTTCCTAACTATACTAAAAAATATGTTCTATATACCTGCAGCTGTGGTACTAAGGCAGTGCCACCTCCATGTAAATTGGGCGATGCAAAGTATCCCGATGCCGATTATCCCAAGTGTTGCATCAATGCGGTGCACTGTCCCACTGGAGATAGTGAAATCTAACAATGCTTTTGTTTTTTTTTTTTTGTGAAAAATACATAATATAATCGCTCTGAGTATTACGTGAGTTTTTGTGCCTCTTCTATAGTCTGTTAAGTATGTGATTTTTCAAATTTTGATTCTATTGTTATTATGGTCTGTCTAGAACTTGAGATACCAAACTTTGTTTGTAATAGATTCAAGTAAAATACACAGATAAGGTATAGTCTTGGGCTTTGGGATGTACACACAATTCGTGGCCATTTGTAAGCCCTGAAAATTTCAAAAAGATCGGAACATAGAGACCGAAGTTATTTGAGGAAGCATATGTCATATTATGGGGCTAAGGAAAGAAGAAGCTCAGTTAATGTATAAATGAGGCATAACTTATATATATGTGTGTTTTTGTATGTTTTGTATGCATGCTAAGAAGCTAGAATGTTTGTAAGGGCAGTTCGGAGCTGGGCTCAGGGTAGCTCCTAGTCAGGCACTCCCGACTAGAGCTCTGCAACAATTTTTTTTTACTTTCCATTTAATTATTTCTTTCTGCTTGATAATAATGATTGCTGGAACAGCTTACAATTGTTATCTTTATAATTATAGTTAATTATTAAAATGTATATTGTTGTTAAGACGCGAACTCAAATGACATAGGTCTTGCTATTGACGCGCTAATCAAACATTCGAAATCAAAATAGCTACTAATTAACGATGTGGTTTCCGTTTGTCTATTGACTTAAGCCCACCTAGGTTATCTGTACATGTTATAGCCAGCTACACGTGTATTTAGTTAAGGGCACACTTAATACAATTACAAACATACACGGTACACACACAATCTCATAACTGGAACGACACCAGGTTCAATTAGTTTCAGTTAAATGCATTCGACACGGTCACCAAATCAATTTGAATTTGTGGCTTAAGATACAACGTTTCTGCTGTGTGTGTGTGGGGGTGTGTGAATGAATGTGTGTGTGAGTGTGTGAATGTGTGTGTGTGTGTGTGTGTCTAATGCCGTGCTAGAGATGAGCAAAATAAAAAAACGATAGTCAAACAAAATTAGTGGAATAAATAATATTTATTATTTTTATTTTAATTCAACTTTCTTAAGCTCCTCTTAAAGTTAACAGCTAGTTTAACAAGTTGTTTCAATTAATTTGTTTTGAACACGTTATACCGTTACTATTTATATAACTGCAGAACATTTATTATTAATTTTTAGTTTCTTTTAATACATTTTAAATACAGTTCGTTATTTTATATAATACGGTACATTTTAGTCAAAGTAAGATATTTGCATGTTAAATTCTTGACATGAAGATAAAATTTCGCTTTTTCATGAGGCGTTGCCAACATCCTATATGAAGCTAGGGTTGCCAACCATGTTGAAAATTCCTAAAATAACATAAAAACGGGAATAAAACAATTTGAAAATAAATTTCTTATAAACTCTTAAAAATTTAAACAGCAATGTGAAAGCGAGCTTTAAATTTAAGTTTTAACTTTAAATTAGTTACACAACTCTGAATTGTACATAAAATCTACGCAGCCTCAGAGGATTTCTAGGCAGAATATATGCAATATAATATGCTAAATAAATTGTATTCAATTTGGAATATTTCTAGGCGTAAATCGATTTTGCTTTGCGTGCTTAAATTGAATAGCAAATAAATGCAAAGGTCAAACAATATTCAAAATGAGGTCAAATCGTAGCTGTCGAAGCGATTTTCAACGGCACGCCGAATATTGAATACCCTAGCCGATTTATGAGTTGAACTGCAAAGTTTGTAATTTCAAGAGCAAAACTGAAACTCATTTCAGACAAGAGCTCATTTATTCATCGATTCTGCTACAGAGCTTTGTGATATATATGATATATAGAGATTTCCAATGATATCGTAGGCTTTTGCGAATGAGAGTGCGCCTTTGTATAAGAGACATGCTAAGCCTTGTAAATGCTTAGTCTTCTCAGGATAGCTTGAAAAACAAAAATGTTATTCATATTAGGCCTTACTAGGCTGTCTGATTCTATGTGTTACACATTACATAACAAAATTTGAATACCCTTTGGAAGTGTATAAAAAAAAAGTGGCCTAAAACTGTGACGGTCATGCGAAACGTTTAACGCAGCGCCCGAGCTTAATTTGGTCAAACGACGAACCACCAAAACACCAAACCACCTACCACTACACACACACACACACACACACACACACACCTACACACCCCACACCCCACACACACGCACAGCTGGCAATTAGTGTTGTGTGTGCGGTTTCAGTTTCAGTTTCGACCCGGCTGCGCTTATCTTTCCGCTTGCAGTTGCTGCCCCAGCTTGGCGCTTATTGTTGTTGATGGTTTTTGGGGCTCGCTCCCCCTCAGTAGGACGCGGTGGAGGGGGGAGGGAGCACAAAAATCGGCCCCATCATAACGACAAACTTCGTTTGGCAAAAGTATGTTACAAAAATAGTTGGCCTAATACTTGGCCGGGGCCATGCTCGTAAAAAATAATAAACAGAACGTCAGTTGACCACGCCAGGCCAAAGTTAATAGGGACGCAGGCGCAGAGCTTTTGGAGCTCATAAACCAGAAAAATAGCCCATAATAAACTGACGGGAGCACTTTGGAGCCATAAAGTAGGCAGCTAGAACTATGACATTCCAGCTAAGGCATATACTTAGGTTGGCCGCAACCTAACTTCTTGATAAAGTCAATTTACGAGGTGCTTGGCTGGCATTTTCATGTACTCCATGGTCAATTCATGTGTGTGTGTCTGTGTGTGTGTATATGTGTGTGCGTGTGCTTGCTTATTTGCAAAACTTATTTGTAGTTGAGCGAATTTTTTGGATTTCTTTCTTAGCACCTTTTTATTTTGCTGTCCTCCCGCTTCAATTTATGGAAAAGTTTTATGTAGGCAAAAAAATTTAGGGTTCTATTTGTGGACGTGCTCGTAATTTGCAGTTTTTTTGAATGTCTGCAGCACTTAAAATCTCCTCCATGGTCACTTTAATGGCTTTCCGTTAGTGAAATTATTGTTTCATAGTTTGAAATTTAAAAGGTTTAGAATAAGTTTGGAATTTTTAGAGCTAGCAATTTGGATTGTGCTTTGATACTCGTAGACTGCAACGCCTTGCGCGTCCTCCATGGTCACTTTAAGTGATTTACCTAACGAAATTTCGTTTCTCATCTAACTTGAATCAAGCTGAATAGCTGAAGAGATTTGTAAACTTTAATGACAACTGTTACCTGGGGTCTTTTGGTTGTCCTCCATGGTCACTTTATGTAGAAAACTCTCCTGCTTTGTTGCGTGAATTTGTCTATATGAGATGTTTATGTTACCTTGGGCATTCCAATTATCTCCATGGCCACTTTAGTTGCTTAACAAAGCGAATATATTTTGTTGTTAAACGAATTAGAATCCAGCATTTTGCTTAAGAGAATTTCAATGTTGGATTTGGAGTGTTTCTTTTTACAAATAAATGTTACCTGCGCTATTTTTTGGTTGTTCTCCATGTTAACTTTATGTAGACAACGTTGCTTAAAAGCATTTGTGTACTTTGAAGTTGTGTTTTTATGTGATGTTTATATATGATGTTTGTTCTTTGAAGTCTGTGAATTCTTCTCCATGTTCAGTTTTGGTGCAAAATGAAGCAAAGTTCGAAGATGTTCTGCCTCTAGACTTTGTATATAATGTTGTTCTGGATGTTGTTTATGAAGTAAAGTGCCTGTCTGTAAATTTAAACGCTAGATGACTTCGTAAAAGCGGGTTTTCCCAGCGCTAAAGTTTTCTGTTTTCTGTGTTTTTTTGGTGGGCGTTTTATTTTTAGCTGCTCGCTGTGTATTTAGCAGCGCAGTCGCTAGAAAAACAAACGCATCAAATATTGAAAATATTTATTCATTTTGGTTTTGCGAGTGATTCACATTACTTGACACAAATGATTTCACGTTCGCAGCACTTGGGATAATCGGCATTGGGGAATTTTGTGGCGCCCATCTTGCAGCCAGGGGGCGGGGCCTCCACGCCGCAGCTGTTAGATGCGAAATTGGTTATTTAAAGAAAATATAGTTTTGTTAATTGCAAGTGCAACTCACGTGTGTATTTCGGCCATGCTATGCTCTGCACATATAATGCGCGCACATTCCATATCGGGATATTTGGCACGCTCACCCGGATTCAATATGAGATTGGGCTTGATGTAGCACTTGCCGGGATGTGCCGGATCCTTGAATATGCCACGTGCAACAGCTGCCTCTGTGGTTGGCAGCAACATTGCTGCCAGCATCAGCAGCAGCAACAAAATTCCGTTCACAAATAGTTTCATCTTAGCGCGGCGCACTCAAAAATCGAACTGATTCAGAGAGCATACGAAATGGCAGCCGGCCGACTTGATGAGGCGGTGCTTCCAACCGGACAAGGGCAGGGGTCAAACAGGTTTCCGATTGCGTCAGTGCATAGTGGCTGCAATATATATGATATTGTTAACAAATGCTAGGTGTGGATCGAGTTGGAATGCAAGTTCTCTCTTAAATAGAATCTTAGTAATATGTACATTAATGTGGAAATAAAGATGAGATAATACTACTGAAACATGTAAGATGATAAGGTTATTAAATGAATATTAAAAAATAGCAATAAAAAATTCCAATAAATAAATATCAAAATAAATATAAATATTGTAAATGAATATAACATTAATTAATTAAAATATAAACAAAATAAGAAAATTATTAATATATATTTGTTATTTATATTATTACTATTAATATATTTTATTTATCTTATTATTTAATTAAAATTAAGTGTATCAACAGCAAAGTTTTACGTTTTAATTCTTAATATTAATTTTATTTTTTACATATTTAAGTTAAGTTTCAAAAGATTCCATTCCATATCAATATTTAGGTATATTTTTGTTTATGTATTTTGTTTTATATATATATTTTTATTTGTAACGCATAGAAGAAGACATCTTCGACCCTATAAAGCATATATATTTTTGTTCTGCAGCCGCGTTGTTATATACATGTCCGTCTGTTCGTCTACTATGCTACCTGTATATTTACAATATCTTATAAACATCGGGCCACTATATCAGATATAGTAGCTGCTATAGAAAAGATAGCTGGAAAGCAGTATCTTATATGACAATATATTCTGCTAACCATGTAGCCAAATCTTTGGCTTCTACGCTTAAATAAAAATACTTTACTAATTATTTATTTATTTACATATTTTATTTATTTTATATTTTTAGGCTAATTATTTTCGTAATAAATTCTATATATACCCAAGCCTCTATTCAATAGTTTATTATATTGTTAATAGTGTTTATTTAAATCGAAATAATATATTTAAAATATTTAAAATAAAATAATATATTTTATTAATTCTTTATTTCTTTATTATATTGATATTTTATTATATACTATATTATTCATTATATTTACCTATATATTTTGGGTTATATATTCTTATAAATATAAATGAAGTTTATGCCATTTCTTAATAATTTAATTTAAAATAATATATTTAACTAATGTTAATGCAATTTTGTTCCACTACGCTGATAGGCGGCAAATGCTGATAAGTAGACAGCTGCACATTGCCAAATGTGAACTCTTGGCCCGTGTTTTATTTGTTCCTCAAACAAAAAAAAAAAATTATGAATATATTGTCTATCCAAATAGTTTATTTTAACGATAAATACTAATAGTATAATAATACACTTATTTAATTTTGTTCGCATATAATCATTTAACAGAAAAGACCAAAAATGAGTTAATTATTATAGTTAAACGAATCATTTCCAATTTGAAATTTCAATCACAAATAATATGACGCTTGCAGCATTTGGGGTATTCCGCATTCCAGTGCTTGAAAGCTGTGTAACGACAATCGTTCGGTGGGGGCACATAATCGCAACTGGTCGAAGAGCATATAGAATCAATCAGATATCTATTATATATGTATGATTATTATGTGTAACATACGTTTGTAGCATGCCCCAGCCATCGCCCATGCAGAAGATCTGGGTGCAGGGCAGCGAATCCAGTTTAACAGATTCCCCCAAATTCATCAGCACTACGGAACTGCTCATATCCACAACACAGCGTCCAGGGTATGCTAGACAGATAATTAGGAACAAATATAAAATAATATAAAATATATATTCATAATATTATATGTGTATTATATTACGATATAGTATAATATAAGTATAACAGAAAAACATAGAAATAGTCAAATATGCATTTTAGATGCATTCTTAAATAGCTTCGGTGCTCATTGTCCGATCGGGTTCAAATTTTATTAAAATTAGTGTATTTACCCAAAATCAGATTCTGTCTTTGGCAGATGCGAGCCCATATACTAACATCTTTAATATTTTCGCAATAAACCTAGGCTGAGAATCAATATATCTTATCCTTATAGATAGTTCGAATAAACCTATTGAATTGATGATAATCTTAAAGATGCGTTATACGAAAACTTAAAAGTTCTCAACAGATTGAAGGCTGCGACTTTCCTTCGAGTCGGCTATTGCCTTCCTCTGGCTGTAATAATTCTTTACAAACTTCTCGAACATTTTTGATAAGTGCAGAGCACAAAATAGCACAAAATAAAGCAAATCTGAAATAGATTTCATACTCACCAGTGTCTCCATAGTAATTAAGTGCGTTCAAGGCTTGAGTCTGAGTAAGATACTCGAAAATGAAAATAATGAGGACAGCTTTGAAAACAAACATCGTGTGCTCACATATATCTCTATATATATATATATGTGTATATATATATTTGCATATATAGTTATTGATTTCTAAAATGTATTGCATAGACTGCTTTGGTTTGGTTTAGTTTGTGAATTGAGTCTCACGAACAGATGATTGTACGCTCACAGCAATGCGGATAGGGCAGATCCATATTGATATAGGAGCCAAAGCGACAAGTGGTCGGAAGGCCGCTAATAATACCACAGCTGTCAAAGGCATTAGATACATTTAGGCATTAGATACATTCGATTGCAGCTGTTAGTACGCACCTTTGAAATATCGTGGAGCCTTGGTAGCCGCACACAATCTGACGGCATTCGTGCGTGGGATCCTTTATGCTCGCACCCTCATTGAGTATCAGCTCCGATGAAATTACGCACTTGCCCGGAAATTCTACATACAATGGGTATTATCCAATATAAATATTGCGACACATGTACACATGTTCATACTTTCATTATGATAAATGCCCACCCATTCGGCGGCTTGAAGTCCGAGTGTAAAATATGCAATCAGTTTTAATAAAATAAGCAAGTGCATTTTCTCTTTTTATTTATTTTTAATTTAAAATATAATTTTATAAATAATTCATGAGTAATTTGGACAAATGCTTTGACAGCTTTTCAAAGAGCTACTAAGTTTAATTTGGCTCGATCATGTTTAATTTGAGGTTAGGTAGAAGTAAAGTTAGGTTATGTAAGGTTGAAGTTGACCAAGAGAGTTTAGTTTCTTCACGTGTAGGTTGCGTTCTTTATTTAACAGTTTTTCATTTATTTTAAGGTTATGTGCAATAAAAGCAGAATTATGTAAAGTTGGGTTAGGTTTGATTGCATTGGCTAAGTGAGGTTAGGTTAGGCACTTGTAGTTTGCATCGCAAGGAACTTTATTAAGGTTATGCTGCGCTACAAGGAACATGTATTTCATAAATGGAATATCCAAAAATTGGCAAATGTTTTTGACAGCCCCTTGATAATATTTTCTTTTATGAAAAACAACTAGACGCCTCTGTGGCATATTGACTGCATTACTCTGTTTTTTTCAACGAGTAGTCCTTCGATAAAAAAAATGTACGTGTTCCCATAAAAAGTGCAGGACAAAGGCAGGGAAAAAAAATGGAATTCTGAATTTTTAGCTTGCTTCATTCACCACGTGATTCAAGTTTTGTTGGTGCATAGTTGTTCTGCGAGCCATGAAAGGATTTTAGCCATGGATAACTTAAATCTTTCAGAATGTCCTGGCTGACACCTTTTTTTTACTTGAGTAGTTATTGTTAAGCCACTCATGCGAGCTGTTACATATTCCATCTGCTTGCTATAACATTGACACAAGTTTAAATGGTCTCAGCGATTAAATTGAGTGAGAAGATTACCGGTTCAAATCCCACGTTAAGTTTAAGGTTAACGGTTCAAATCCCACGTTAAGTTTAAGGTTAACGGTTAAAATTACATGTTCAGTTTAAGGTTAACGGTTCAAATCCCACGTCAAGCTACAGATAACCTGTCCAAATCCCACGTTAAGCAAAAGGCTACCGGGTAAAATCCCACATTACGTTAAATATTACCGGTTCAAATCCCATGTTAAGTTAAATATTACCGGTTCAAATCCCTTGTTAAGTTAAAGATTACCGGTTCAAATCCCTTGTTAAGTTAAAGATTACCGGTTCAAATCCCATGTTAAGTTAAATATTACCGGTTCAAATCACATGTTAAGTTAAATATTACCGGTTCAAATCCCATGTTAAGTTAAAGATTACCGGTTCAAATCCCATGTTAAGTTAAATATTACCGGTTCAAATCCCATGTTAAGTTAAATATTACCGGTTCAAATCCCATGTTAAGTTAAAGATCACCAGTTCAAACCCCATGTTAAAGCTAATCTATTTAATTTGTTCTAATTTTTCTACTTTTTATTGATTTAAAGTAGCAACGCAGAATTTGACGAGAAGAAAAAAACATGAAACTAAGCCAAATAATATAGACTTAACATTAGACAGTGTTGCATTTAACACGACGTGGACAGCATTTGGGATAGGGAGCATCGGGGTACTTATAATCGCCATATTCGCAGCCCTTGGGCGGATATTTTGTGTCACAGCTGGGCGCAAAGAATGGGAAATTAACTGTTAGGTATACGAAGAGAGAAACGCATGGAGCTTACGCATAGACCAAGGCCCAGCTGTTGCGGCCACAATAAATTTCAGCGCACTTGCCAGGATAACGTGCGTACTGATCGCTATCGATCAGCAATTTATCGCCCTTGGGCAATTTAACAAAACACTTGTTGGGATAATCTGTGGGCAGGTGGGATAATAACTAATTGTTAGACGAAATGCCTGGGCTTACCGTCATGTTTGAATATGGCATGATAGGCATCCGCATCGACAGGATGTTCGCTGTGCAGCAGCAAGACAAGCGCCAGGATCAAACAGACCATCAACGGCGACATTTTGTGTGTTCCGTATATTTTTGTGTGTGTCAGGAAATTTTACTTAGATATTCAATTGGTGTGTGTTAAATTTGTAAGGCCTGCCCTGATGCCTGCCGTCTGCCGCCTGCTGCTGTCGATTTCATATGCACATTTTAATTAAAAGCATCAGCAGCAGGGTCGAAGCTAGAGCTGCAGATACATTTATAGATGCAGATACAGATACATTTATCGAATATGTTAATCCCGTTATGTGCAGCTGTCTGTGTGTGTGTGTGTGTTTCCAGATGTTGTCGTTGCCTTTGCATAATTCGATTAAACAACGTTGACGCCCACACCCCCCCCCCCCCCCCCCCTTGCCTGCAGCGCAATGCAAACATTTGCTGTGTGTTTGTGTGCGTTGTCTGTCGGATTTTGATTGCTGCTTTCCCCTCAACGTTGCCCCCTCTCAGTCTGCAATTATTTAGCTACCCAATGTAGACAAATTAGTGGCCATATAATTGATGCATGCATGTGTTCATGTGTGTGTGTGTGTGTTTGCGTGTGTGTTTGCTTGTGTATATTTGTGTGTGTATGCTGTTGTTATTGAGTGTTTAGTTGTGCCAAGTAACTTTAAATCCATTGCTGATGTTTTTGTTTTAGCTGCCAGTGCTGCCCCCCGCCCCCTGCCCCCCCACCCACACCTCAGCCTAGCTCTTTCTCTCCTCTCTTTGTCTCTTTGTCTCTCGACTCTGACTTGATTACATTTGGCCATGCTGGCAATTAGGCAAGCGGCCTTCATTGTTTGCCAGCTGAAATTAATTGAATCGAGTGGCCTCAGCTGAGATTGAAATATGCAATTCCCCCCTCCTTCTGGCCACAGTTTGAACTATCTGCTGCGAAACAAATAGTTTTTGTTGTTTTGCAAAGCTTTGAAAATAAGTTGAAATTTAAAGAATGCTATTTCACATGGTTAAATTCTTTGCTTTGTTTTAGAAATGGCGATTCAATCAAAATAAATAAACCCAAATAGATGGCCCATTCAGACCGTGTGTACACACTGGTGGTCAGCGCCAGGTCTGGACTGTTTAATATGGTAAATAGACAGAAATTTTTGGCAGAGGCATCAATTTAGCTGGATCGATCAGCATTTAGATACAAAAAGGTGCAGCTGCCTAGATATAAACATCGATTTGCATATATACGCAATCAACACGTAAACGCAGCATAAATAACAAATTGCCACGCAAATGAAGGGGTGGAGATGGGTAGGGGGGTGCAGGTGTTGGCACCCATCTACCTTAGGGTCAACATACAGCAACGGTCAATGGCAACATTTTATTGAGCCACGTTTTTTGTTGTTTTTGCCCGGCCAATGGAAATTTTGTGGGCGTGACAGGCGCCCAAGCAAACAGCTTTGGCCTCAAGCGATTCAACTGTACGTATATATACATATATATATTTAATATATGTAAGCTTTCACCTGTGTGGCAGCACTGGCCCAGTTGCTATATCTCTGTACCCCTCTCTCTCTTTTTTATGCACACACATAATTATAATTTCAATGAGTTTTAGAGTTCATATCAAAGTGAATGAGATGCGAGCGAAATGTTTTATTTTTATTGCCTTGTGTTTTTTTATGCCTGACCCGTCCGACAACAGCCTCAAAGTTTATTATCTTTTTTAAATATTTTTGCATTATGTATGGGAGGCTTTTAATTTTTGTGACGTCACAGCTGAAGCCGCCGGCACTTTAAGTTCATATGAGCAGCTTTTTGTGTGCGTGTGTGTGTGTTGAAGTGTGCTAATGAGTGTGTGTGTGTGTGTGTGTGTGTTTTTCCATCATGGAGCTCAACTTTTTAAAACGGCATTTATGTTTTTAGCTGGGAAAAACGTGCTCTAGCACACAGACATAACATAGCATTAAATAAAAACATTGTTTAATTCATTACAAATATTTAAAGCGATAAAAACAGATTTTATTTATCGAATTATATCGTATAAAAAGCATGTAGACACAACTGAGTGTTTTAATAATTGGATTTAAATGATAAATAAGTGTGTGCAATTCCAAAAGAAAGTGTCATATAAATAAAACAAGTAAGAGCTTCTAGTCGGAAGCTCCCGACTAGGGGATACCCTGAACACTCTTCTTCCAACATGAAATGCATATATATATATTCTATTTTAGAAGCTATATGTCAAGTTTGGTGACTCTAGCTCTTATTATTTACCAAAATTGCTCAAAAAATAGGATATCGATATCGATTCTTATCGACTACTAGGAAACGGAAGAGTTATCGATTATCGGAAACACGGAAACTCGATCTGCGCAGGCACTAGAAGGACCTACAACTAAAATTTTAATACGAACGGACGGACGAACAGACAGACAGACGAACATGGCTAGATCGACTCAGCTATTGATGCTGATCAAGAATATATATACTTTATGGGGTCGGAGATGCTTTTTTCTGCCTGTTACATACATTTCCATTTTGCACAAATACAATATACCCTTTTTACCCATTTTTAATGGGTTCAGGGTATAAAAAAACGTTGCATTTATTTATTCTTAATGATTATTAATTTCGATAATTAATTCCAATTAATGTCTATAGCTTAATACATTGCATTTATAAATAATTAATTTCATTAACTGTTATAAATGCAGATGTCAATTGAGCTGTAAAATTTGTTACATTGCGTATACGTAATGCGCATAACGCATACGTAAAATTATTTAAATGCATTTAGCATTTGTGTGTAAATGATTTATTTTTTAAGCTATAAAGCATTATTGTAATGCAAATACACTTGTATGTGTGTGTGTATATATAAAATATTCAACAAAATTTCGCTGCTACAAATGCTTGATAAACTGTAAAATAAACGAATTCAAATAAGAACAAGAGCAACAACACAATAAAGTGCCGTAAACAAAATTTCATTCTGCCCAGTGATTTTTATGCTAAAGCGCGCGGGGTGCAAATGTAAGGGAAAATCCAATAAGTGAGCTGCACAGTGCATAGTGTATAGACCCCCCCCCCCCCCCTCCCCTTCCAGCCGCTGCCTAACCCTGTCTAAACTGCTGGGCACACTATCTCGCTCTGTCTCGCTCACTCTCTCTCTCTCCTGCTGCTGTTTCAGATTTGTTTGGGTGCTTCTTCCGCTGCTTTCTAGTGCACTCAAAGTAACTGTAACAGCAGCAGCAGCCGAGAGGCAGAGGCAGAGGCAGAGGCAGAGGCAGAGGCAGAGGCAGTGGCAGTGGCAGCGGGCAGAGTAACTGCAGCAACAACAAGCACCTTCAATGACCTTCAAATACACAAATTGACTCAACTATTGTTGTTGTTGTAGCTGCTGCAGAGCAGCAGCTCTGCTCTGCTCTGCTGCTGCTGCTGCTCTGCTGCGGTTTTACGTTGTTTGTTGTTGTTGTTACTTGCAGTTGTTGTTGTTTTTGCTGCTGCTGCTGCTGGTTTAGCTTATGACAGCGCTCCGCACTGAGTTATTAAAATTTGTTTTTGCCAAAATGCACATTTGCCAAAATATTCTACAAGCTGTTTGTTCGCCTTTTCTTTTCTTTTGTTGCTTTTGTTGCGCTTTCAACGTTTCTGTTTTGTGTCAGCTACTCAAAACGTGCAACAACAAAAACAACAACAATTTAAATAACAATAACAACAATGCGCGTGGTCTTGAGTTCATTTCTTGCTTGTGCTTGCAATTGTTACAAAAATACACTTGAATGCCAAAACGTTTACCAAAAATAACAAATAAATGGAATTTCCGTTAAATAAAATGCTAGACAAAAGCACTTGAATTTCTGACGCGAACAACATATAATTAGCTTACGTATACAATTTTAAGATATTCTATATATGCCATACAAATATTAACTAATCTAGATTATTTTTCTTGCAGGTAAGGAACGCAGTTTGATTTCTTGTGTGTAAATATTTGGCAAGTAATTAAGTTTTATTATAATTATAACAAATTGTATATGAATATAATATAAGAAATTAACCGGCGTTGTCCGTGTGTTGAAGCATTAATGTTGATATTCAAGCTTTATCCAAGCTTCAAGTTACTCGAACTGCCTACACGCCTTCTTGGAGGTTCGAACCCTGAACTTTGAACCCCTCGATTGCAATTTTGTGGGTTGTTGTTAACTTCCGCTCATTTTCCATTTCTTTGTTATTGGATATGCCCTTGTAGAGGGTATTAAAGTTTTGTATTAAAATGAGAATCGCATAGAAGGAGACATTTCGGACCTCATAAAGTATATATATTCTAGATCAGTATCTATGCAAAATACTCTTTTAGTATTAAGGCTATTGTCTGGAAACTTTATATACGTATATCTAGTCGGATCGGACAACTTTTTGGTTTATCAAGATATCTTAGCCAACTTATAGGTTTCACTATATTCCCCCAAATGTGTAATAAGTCCTATCAACATCGGATCACTATATTATATAGCTGCTATAGAATAGATGGGTCGAATGGTAGAATCTATTTTGTTGTCAAACTTATCATTTTCGAGCTTCATTCTTCTTCTTGCATATCTGAAAAAGGGATATGTCAACAAGGGTCTTAAATCCTTATCCTTATCCATTGTTTTTTTTATATTTCTTATTTTTTAATATTGTTTTAACACATTTATTATCATGTTTATTGAATTTAATTGCAGCTCAGCTTATAAAAGCTCTTTAATTGTTTCCATTTAATGCATTTGGCTATTTAAAATATTGTTCGCATTGTATAAAGCTTAAAGAAACGAAAGAAATCCGCATTAACTAGACCCAAGCGCTTATCCTTGGCATTTACAGGTGCGCTGTCCTGTTGTTGTTGTTTGTTTGTTTGTTGTTGTTGTTGTTGTTTGTTGTTGGCGTTGGCTACGAAAAACCGCGCTTGTTGAATTATTTAAGACACAAGTGCGCTGCCCAACCAGTCCACAGCCAGACCCCTTGCGCCCACCCCATGCCCCGCCAGACTCCATCGGCTTGCAACGATAAAGGCAGGCAGATAAAAGTGGCCTACTTTAAGGCGTGGCTGGGGGGGCAGCTTGATTATGTCTCAAGTCACTCCACGTAGCGCCAGCCACAAAAAAGAAATTAAT